ATTGTTCACTCTCGACCCGACCAGCCCCGAAACGTCTCGTTCAACCTCAGCGTTAATAAGACGAGAAGCCTACGTGCGAAACCAGGCGGCCGCGACAGCTTCGATGCCGAGGACGCCACGCACGACTTCACGCTACCCGTCGGACGGCCTAAGTCGGGCTTTGAGTTCGCCGACACACTCAATGCCGCGGCAGACCTCCAGGACGATGTCACGACGCGTGATGTCGAGGTGGAGATGCTGGATATTCTGGAAATTGACCGGGCTTTGGAGTATATGGAAGACGATCGGGGTAGTGGGCGGAAGAGGGTTCTCTTCGAGGGAGACCAGGACCGCTCGTTTCACTAATGTTTGCTGACGAGACTTGACCTAGATGAGACCAAAATGTACGATACCCATGGGCCGTCTTGGCAGTCGACCCAAACTCTGCGTTCGTGGTGCGCCTTGTTGTCAGCATTCCTCTTTCCCCGTGTTTTTCTTTGTCTTACGTCACGAAGACACGTCCATCAATCGCCTAGCCTCTCGAGGCCAAGGCAATCCGCACGTCCAGGTGGAGCGCAAGGAGAGATTCATCCTTGATCCAGCTCTGTATTACGAGCGGTATATCAAACAACCCCGGTCCTCTGGGACTTTTCTTCCCGCAAAGCACAAGATCGCAAGATGAAGTGTTGTCGGGCAGATCGACTCCATGACTAGGGCATAGCCGACGGTTCCTACTTTAGGACAGGGATTTTTTACGGGTGGGGGCAAACGGGTGGTTCGGCATACGCGAATTGACCATTTGCTCTCCCAGCCTACCCCGTCATCCTGTTATCTGCCCCCAATCCTTGACTCTGGTCGTGTATGGCGGCTGGAGGAAGATGGGAGGGGGTGGGGGGTGCCAAGGCTGGGAGGTGGTTCCGTCGGTACATCATGTCAACGATGCGTGATTTGGTGACCAGTGACATGCATTATCTTCCAAGTATTATTTATGACATGTATCTGTCCCGTTGTGACACAGTCCTTCACGAGTCGTATGATTTGTGCTGAGGAAACCGCGGCTCCTCTCTACCGTGGCGGAGGACTACAAGGACGTTTGATCTTGACTATAGCCTGCCAAGTCTCCTGTATACTATTGCTGCCGAGATCAACGAGGTGAAGGGATAAGAAGTCGCTACTAAAGACAGAAGCCATCTAGACATAGCCCAGAACGATCGCACAACTGTGGCAGGCACCCCAGCATTCGGCTCCACGTCCTCACCAGCTGGCCCCGTCTTGTCCATGATGGCATTGGACTTCTCCACCTGGGGGCCAGATGCTCTGGAGCACCTCATTCGGCGCAGCGGCCTACACTCCCGAACCAACATGGTCCATGACCGGGCCAGAAAGTGACGGTCGAAACTTTTTTGCCTTTTCAGGTCAATATGACGAGGGGCGTTGTTCCAAAAACGTGCTGCGAACGCCGAGCGCCAGTCCCAGCCCGTGGCACAACACATGATTCATCTTCAGGCCTCCGAAAGCAACCCGCGTTTCTCCTCTCTCGTTCCTCGTTCTTCGCCGGCGTGAGCCGGTCCTGCATCTCAACTAGGAGCTTGCGGCATTTCCGAGGCTGGAACCTCTGTAAATGTGGCCAACGGCACTTGCGGTAGATTTCTCAGGCTTCCTGTACGCTAACTTAGTATACGGGTGTACTTCCTTGTGATCTATTACAAAGGATACTTATAGCTAGCTATTTCTAACGAGCACGTATCTGCTTTAGCTACCCTACCTGCCACTTGCTCCTGTTAGAACAACCTAGCACAGGTAACATCTTAACTAAGAGCATGTCCTTATGTGACCTAATAAATTATATAACTGTAGGGCATAGGTCTTACTGTGCGCTATTGCTTGTCTTCAGGATCTCATCTAACGGTCTCAATATATATACGTTGTGAGCAGTGAGCTTACCTACGGCAAAGAAGGTTAGATAAGGGGGGACCCCTAGCCTGACTAAAAACCTGTCCTTAAGCCACCTGTATCGGTATTAAGCAACTGCCCTGTCCCCAGCGTGTCTCCTCCCAGCGGTTCAGACAGTGGTAATACGCCTGGAGGGATTATTTCCCCTGGCAACGGCCAGAGTCCGACGAGATTAGGGTCGTCGAATTGATAATCCTCGTCAGTTTCATCAAAAACATTCTGGAAATAGGTGACGGTCTGGGTGGACGGGAACACAGGCCTGCAGCTAGTGACATACGAGGGATGATGGTCGCAACAGGTTTGTGCAGGCCGGTGTCTGGAGGTCATTTCTGATGTTAGGGTTAGAGTAGATATCTTACTATTCCCATGATCATGAGGCTTGCTTTGCTAACAAGAGGCGGCTCACTATTTGATTATAATATCACTAACACGGGCTAGCTTGGCGGTCCCAGGATTCGAGACACGGCAGGGTCATGGAAACTCTGTGCCCAGGCCCTCATGCTACGTACGGCCCGTACGGCACAGTAAGCTACGGGCCCCTAACGCATGGGCAGTTGACATCATACTTGCAGGACGGCACGGAAGCAATGGGTACCTTTTGGGGATGTTGCGTGGGTGGGCCAAGGCGGTTGAAAAACAACGCTATTGAACTATATTGTATCGCTTTTGGTATCATACAACCGCTGCAAAAGGGAAAATTGGACCAGAACTCCCTCAGCCCCCGTCTAAATACCATCAACATTCCTCTGGAGTTGGGCATGTTGTCCCACAAGCCATGGCTATAACCGAACCCCACCGCGCCATACGACTCTCAAATCGGCTCAGAAATCTACGTTTGCCGTGAGCTGTTGAAGAGTCCTGAAATCCATCAGAACGTAGGCTTTTTCGCATTCGGGGTCTTCCATTGGGCTGTAGAACGGAGGTGGGCGATGACCCTCAGGCTCACCCTCGTTGCATTTTCTGCGGGGCACGGTTTCGACGTCAGCAATGCTGATGATTTGTAGGCAAAGGGAGCCAGGCAGCGAGCGGACGACGAATCCGACGTGGCAATCCTGGAAGGCGATGATTCTGTCTCCCCTCTCAATGCGGGCTTCTGATGAGGCGAAGCCAACGTTACCCTCGGTTCCGGTGAACTGCACGAGTTCGCCAGTCTGCATGCCAGGCAATTCTTTTCTTTCAGCCGCACAGCAGCAAGCCCGGGCAACAGAAAGGCTGGGATTCTCAGTGCTCTCGCTGAAGGCCCATCCGCGGGTTTGATCAGAGAAACAGAGCCCGTTGTAATAGGTTGTGGCTCGTTCCAGTCTGCCGGATCTGATGACCTTGGCTGTGTAGTCCTGCACGAAGGCTTGGAAGATGGCGTTGTCTTCATCGTCTTGATACAAAGGCATGTAGTCTCCCAAGAGAAGTGGCCCGTGAGAGGTAACGATGTCTCCATAGCTTCGTCCGACGTGATGGACATACCCAGCAATGTAACCCTTGGCGATGATGGAATCACAGAAGGATATGAGCAAAGGGGTGGAATGAGTCCTTCGGAGATAGATCTGGGGGTCAGTATCAAGAACACGAAGCGCTTTCTGGGCGAGCGCTGCAAAGCGAACAATGTTGGTTCTTTGCCGGTCTTTGGACTGCTCAACACATCTCACAGGGTTGACTTCCCCGCCTGTGAGCCGCACCAAGTCCACCTAGGCCTGGTAAGGGGTCTGCAAGTAATCGATGATCAAGTGTGAAAAGCGCCAACGTCTCTTGTCTATCCCCGGGACTGTAGCGGCTATACGTAAGTCGGAAGCCAAGCCTCTCAAGGCGTAGAGCATGTCGAGAGGGTTTTCAGACTCGTAAGAGTGGTACTTGAACAGGAGAGTCTCGAAGGGTAGCCTCCTGGCTCGGTTTCTGCGGGCTTGCAGGGTTTTGACGATTGGAAGTGTTCCGAAGTGATGCATGTGGATATCAAAGTCCTTCTCCCTCCAAACGTTTGTCCCGGAAACGAACAAGACATTTTGAGCATAGTAAAGGTCGTGAAGAACCCAGATGCGGCTCCAGTAGGGCTTTTGTCCAATGAGAGCCACGGGGATGGATTGTCGATATGTCGTGTTCAACTCTTGGCCTTCCGGATCCCTTATATAATTGATGAGGAGTTTGGTCCTCCCGAGGTCCCAATTGAGCTTCATCCGAGTCCACGGTTCTTCATGGGGCCAGTTTGTCCGAACCTGCCGAGGGTCATCCGGTCCAAGCCAAGAGATGACGATATGGGCCTGTGACACAATGTTCGGCATAAGGAAAGCTTGAGTGCATCTTTCGATGTTGTCTTTAGGATTGATACAAATGGCGTCGATCCACAGCTTTTGAGCATACTCTTGGGAGCGTAGGTGTAGTAGGGCGAGGGCCAGATTGTGGCCGATTTTGAATGGCTGGCCATTGATCCTAATTGTCCGCGAGTTGTCCTGACAGTCCCAGTCTTGGTCAGACTTGGCTAAGGGCAGACTGGCGTCGGCTTCTGATGCATCTTTCCATGCGTAGGAAAGAAAGTTGTAATAGCTTGGATGATGATTAGGTAGGAGCCGACCAACAAAAAGTGAGCCTACAAGTTCATCGTCAAAGTTGCCGGGGTGAAGGGTGAAGATTCGAATGGACCAGGGATCCTCCAGAGGCTTGTGTCGGAACTGCATTGTCAGGTAGCCTTCAGGCGATGGATCCAGCAGCGATGCCGCGTCGGGTTGATGCGGAAATGGAGGCGGTGGAATGCGTGATGGATCTTGTGTGGGTAAAAGCGAATGAATAGAGCAATGTTTTGATAATGCCGCAAACGAATGCCAGTACTCCAAGAAGAACGACCGGGGAGATGGTTGGAGGTTGGAGGGATTGTGAAGATGAAGTTATGGAAAAGGAGAGGGAATAATAGGGGAAAATGAAGCCGCATCTTGGAACCGTCCCGGGAAGTCAGTATCATGGAAGGTCCTGCTTTGCTCAGACCGACCATCGGGCATCTTAGGTGCTTCCTCCCCAAGGCGTCGCCTTTTCGACTGCCCCGGCACCACAACTTCCCAAAATATTGCCTCAAAAGTCAACAGACAGGTAGTACGAATGAATTTGCTGTATCATCAATAGCCATTTTTGATTGAGCTTGCTAAAACGCCCCGTTTGTAGACCCGAGAACCCCTTGCCATGCTATGAGGTAGTAGTAATGGTAGTGTACAGTGGGACACGATCATGTCCACTCATGAATTATTCTTCGTACAGTCTGTCATCTTTCATGTTCGTTGTAAGAAAACACCTTACATGTTCTTCTTAACCTGCTCGGCGGTGCCCTGAGCCTTGCCTGCGAGCTCGTTCGCCTTGCCCTTGGCCTGGCCGGACAGCTCGCTGGTCTTGCCTGAGGCTTCGCCCTTGAGCTCCTGGGCCTTGCCCTTGGCCTCGCCCGCGTTGTTGGGGACGGCCTGTTTAACCTTCTCGGCAACGTTGGCTGGGGGAAAATGTGTTAGTGGGTCGGAGCCCATGATGGTTTGCAAGTTAGACAAAGCTGGTGCTGCTACTTACCTCCGACATCAATTCCATCAACGAGCTTGTCGCTGACCTTGCGGTCGACAGTCTTCAGGCCATCCTTGACGGCCTCGGTTGGCGACTTCTGGACGGGAGCGGTGGTGGTGAAGGACCTAGGCGCGGCGGCCAAGGTTCTGGGGACAACGCGGGGGAGGGTAGCCAGGCGACGGCTGGTGGTCTCAATGAAGAACGACATTTTGAGTGTGAGGTGTGTGGTTTGTGTTGTTGTTTATGAAGGTTGTTCTTGTGGGGATTTGCTTGGATTGGATCGCGATGAAAGCGTCTGATTCGTTTGGTTGTTGTTTTTTGAGTGATGAAAAGGTAGGAAAGATTTGGGATGCAGACAGTTCAAATATGAGCAAGAGAACGGGTGGATGGAACAAAGACAGCTAGCTACCAGTCCTTCGCGTCCGAATGAGGTAGCTCAGCTGAAGCTGCATATGAGCTTAGGGTGATGTCATCGGGCGGCTGCTGTACGCCCTGATTTCGCGGGGCATACCGTAGTCAAGCTCTCCCTAACACAGTCTGGAACTGCCCTCAGGGAGAGGGGGGGGGGGGGGGGCCTGCAGGCCACACATGCCAAACCCCCCACTAAATGACGTTCCTGGACGGCCATCGAGACATTGTATCACACCTACATCATCGATCGAGGCGACGCTCCCCAAATGTATGCAGCCGCTTATTTTTGGGGGACCGGTACTCCGTACTGCCCCAGTAGGTATCTTTGTGCCACTGCCACCGACCGATTCGAACCCTGCGGGCTATTGGAGAAGGGAGATGACGTTATGGCTACATTGGCAGCTCTTCATCGCACCGTCGCCCACGCCAAGGCTTAGTCGATTGCTTTGGGTTGTTTGCATAACTGAGGCCCAGAATCCTTCCTGTGCGAAGAAAGAAAGGACTGAAACAATGGCTCGGCACCTTGAGGCTCGAGCGAACTCAGGCTTGGGTATGGTTCCAGTTATCAAACCATTGCTGCGATTCCAGCCCTGAATTTTCCTCGCTGCTGAGCTGGAGGCTACCCTGATCTCGATCCCCCCCCCCCCCCCCCAGTGTTGCTCGGAGCATCCACCGAGTGGCGGCCGTCTGTCCCCTCGGCCCTGCGGCCCCACTCTACCGCGACCCGGACCTGTGAGCGGAGCCGGGCGCCTTTCCGAACTGTATCTGTCTCGGACTCGCATATGACCCGCATCCTCTTGAGCTCCCTTGCTCTTACCGAACCAATGAAGCCCCCTTGCGATCTGCAGTCCCGCCAACTAATGGCACGAAGGCATCTGAGGAAAACATCGTCATCGTGATCACGGTCAATAAATACCCCTCGAGCCCGTTGGGATAGACAACGGCCTGATACTGCCAGGTTCACATTTCCATATCACATCCGATCCCAAATTGAACTCAATATACATGATATTTGCATCACAGCTGCAGATACACAAATTGAACCATACACAAATCCTCTCACCATACAGCATAATGTCGTCCATGGAGAACGTGAGTGTAGCACCTCCCCTCTCCTCTCCTTGCCTTACCTTGTCCTACCCTGTCCAATCGATATGCACAGTCTCAGACCCGTTGGCTGACACGGAATCTATCGTAGCAACACGGCGCGTACGGCTCCTTCGGCTCCGCCAACGACGCGGACCTGGTCAAGAAGGTCAACGCCTTCAACGAGAGCAAGATCGAGCACGGAGGCGAGGAGCCCTCGTCGGCCGAGGGCAAGGCCGCGAAGCCGGGCCTGGGGACTTCCAGCGGTGACGGCGGGGATGTGCAGGAGGCCGGCAGAAAAGTGACGGAGAAGGTCGGGGACATGCTGAACAGGAACAAATAGAGTAGACGAGCGATGCTGGTTTCCGTCTTGCTAGCTGCCCGGTAAATCCTCAATGAATTACGAAGCTTTGTGATAATGGTCATAAGTATCCAATACCCCATAGGGTTGTCGAGAAAGATCTTTTCTTTCTCTCTACTATCTACACACGTGCTGGTCCGCTTATACCAATCCTGTGACCAATTACACGGCCAATAAATCTTTTTTACCCAACATGATAAACAATGTGGTATCAGTTGCAGCCACTTACTTGCTTAGGCGACCCCCACAGAAACGCAGTCAAATGGCGTTTACTGGCCCTTAAAAACAGGCTTCCTCTTCTCCTGGAACGCCTTGAGCGCCTCGTTACGGTCCTCGGTAGCAACGACCCGCTCGTACATCTTGTTCTCGACCTCCTCCCTCGCCCACGCGACAGCCTGCAGCGCGGCGCGGATGGCAATCGGGCCGCCCTCGCAGATCTCGCCCGCGAGACGGACACTCTCACTCAGCGCCGCGTTGCGGGCCGCGAGCAGCACGCCCTTGTCTTTGTCGCCCTCGCCGGCCTTCTCAGCCTCCTCGTGAGTGATGTCGACCAGGCGGTCCGCGATGCCCAGGAAGTAGGCCTCCGGGGCCGAGACGCGGCGGCCGGTGAGGATCAAGTCGCGGGCGCGCGAGAGGCCGATGAGGGCGGGCAGACGGTGGGTGCCACCAGCGCCGGGGATAATACCGAGGCGTGTCTCGGGAAGACCGACCTGGGCATTGGATGAGAGGACGCGAAAGTGCGTGGAAAGGGCGAGCTCGAGGCCGCCACCGAGGGCGATGGACGAGATGGCCGAGATTGTCGGGATAGGGAGGTTTTGGAGGGATGTGAAGGTGGAACGGAGGTTGTGGAGGAACTCGTCTGTTCTGTCAAAGAAATGCGTGTTAGCAGGCTCAAGCAGGTCAAATCCAATCTTCAAGAGCCAATCGGCTTGGACTGAGGTGTGCGGGTGGCACGTACTCCTGCTGCGTGAAGCCCCGCCTCTCTTTCAAGTCGGCGCCAGCGCAGAAGCTCGTCTCAACAGCGCTCGCAAGAATCAAGGCACGGGTCGGGCCCTTGACGTCCTTGCCGGCGGCACCGCCGAAGACGGGCTTCTGTGGGAGCTCATCACCAGTCTCCGGGTCATACTGGGCGTGGATGGCGTCGATCTCGGCGCGCAATTGCGAGAGCAGAGCCTTGGAGAGGGCATTGCGGGCCTTTGGACGGTTGAGCTCGAGGATGCGAATGTGGCCGGACCCGGGGGCGGGCAGCTGTGTGACGGTTATCAGCGGCTGATTGGAGTCTGAGGCGGTCGATGTCGAGTAGAAGGCCGCTGCCGCCGACTTTGAAGATGCGATGGTAGTGCACGGGATGCGGATTGCGACGCGGAGGGGGGCGAGGCGAGGAGGCATTATGGCGCTTTGGGGGGGGGGGGGGGGGATTAAGAGATGATAAGAAGTCAAGGGTTACCGGTAGTATAGTGTAACAATTGAATGCAGACAAAGTGCGGGAAGCTCGTCGCAGATTTCTTTTGATGGTGCGTGCGGTTCGGCAGAGCTCGAGAATTGGGCCGAGGACGTGGACTGGAGCGAAAGCTCCATTGGTGAAAATGCGATGACGTTCATGGCAGTCCGGGTTTGCTCGGCTATTTGTGGAGACGTTTTGTCACTTATCGTGCGCTCGCCAGGTGTCTGCCAGTCACCAGCTGTCATCTCTAGCGCGGTAGGTGGTAAGAGGCAGGTAGGTACCTAATACAGGTAGCTCTTGATGGAAGAAGGTTGGTTCCTAGCCAAGGTCACCGAAGCCGGCAAGGAGCTTGGATCACACACACGCACAGCTGCTTCGGCTCTGCACACTTAAAAAACAACCATCGTCAATGCTTGGCTGGCGGAACACTTGCCGCGAGGAACACCGTCTCAACGAATTCTCGAAGAGAAACACCATCATCACTAAACCCCCGAAAGCAACCAAGACTAATCATTCATCCGCCATCAAGGGGGCGCCCGTGGCCCGTGCACAGTGACGTTGACGTTCCTGGCGCCAAGCTCTCTGTTCCTGCGCAAAGACACACACACACACACACACACGTACCTATAGGTACCGGTAGTTGAGGGGAGTCGTGTGCCCCGCTGGATTCCCTTTAAATGGCGCTCTGCTGCAGCTCTTCCGTTTACTTCTCACACTTGTCTACCATATGTCTATCGAGTCCTTCACCATGTTAGATAGCACAACAGAGAGCATTCTCGTCCCCTTTCTGGGGGCCATTCAAGCCTCCTTATCAGTCCTGTTGACCATATCAGCCGGAGTCATTGCCGCTCAGCTGGGGCTTCTAGACGATGCCAGCAGCAAGAAGATTTCGACATTCTGCGTCCGCATGGCCCTCCCTGCACTCCTCATCACAAATGTCGGATCTCAGCTTGACCTCGAGACTGTACGTTCATGGCCCTCCTTGACACCTGTTTTCGACTTGTCTGACCCATCTATCAGGGAATGCGATACGTGCCTATAGTCATTTGGGCTATATTCTACACCACCGTCTCCATTGGCATTGGCTTCCTCCTCACAAAGGTCTTCGGCATGCCGGACTGGGTCATCCCGGCCATTGCCTTCAATAACACAACCAGTCTGCCTCTCTTGCTCGTCCAGTCTCTGGATGCCACGGGCATTCTTAGCTCCATAGACGACAGTTCGGGCGTTGTGAGCAAGGCAAAGAGCTACTTCTTGGTCAACGCCATGATTGGTAATTCGTTGACTTTCGCTCTGGGGCCAAGACTTCTCAATGGCCAAGAGGAGGAAGCCCCTGACAAGCCCGGGGACGACAACGAAGACGGCCAAACTGACGGCGAGAATGACATCGAGTCGCAAGAACAGGATGCCGTTGAGAGGAACGAGCAGACGTCGCTCCTCCCGAAACCGGTCGCGGCCAAAGGCACCCGCGCCGGATACTTGGCCTACGGAAAAGGTAGCAAGTTCTGGTCTTCTCTCTCACCCACAACGCGCTCTATTCTCGACTTCCTGTACAGCTTCATCAACGCTCCCGTTATTGGAGCTCTTCTCGGAGCCCTTGTTGGCCTTGTCCCTGCGCTCCATCGTTTGTTCTTCAACGAGCCTGAGGAGGGTGGCTACCTCAAAGCATGGCTCACCTCTGCCATCAAAAACGTTGGCGAACTGTTCGCTGTATTGCAGGTCATCGTCGTCGGTGTGAAGCTTTCCAGAGCGATTCTCCAATACAAGAACGGAAACGACTCAAAAGAAAGCAGAGTTCCCCCAGTGCCATTCATGGTTGTGACCTTTATCAGGTTCATCCTTTGGCCCATCATCTCAATTGGAATTATTTACCTGCTGGCTAGCCGGACGAACCTGGTTACCCAGGACGCGCTGTTGTGGTTTTGCATGATGCTCATGCCCACCGGACCCCCGGCAATGAAGCTGTCTGCGCTAGCAGATTGTGAGGGCTCCGAAGACTCTGAGAAGATGTTGATTGCCAAGTTCTTGACTGTGAGTGTTGGCTTTTGTTCCACAAAACATGATACACCTGCTGACCTTGCTCTAGATGTCGTACATAATCTCACCCCTGATCTGTTTCGCGGTTGTCGGTGCCTTGAAGGCGAGCGAGTCTGTGGCCGGAAAATAGATTATAGAGTCTTTTGAGTGTACTTTACAGATGCCTTGACTGAGTGAGAAGGCCACTAGAATTTGGATATACGGAGCAGCATACACCAGCCTTCATACAATACAAAAGCTTGCGTTTTAGAGAAAAGTATACGATAACTTGCTCCAGTTCAAACCATTTTCTGTCTATTTTGCCGATACAATTCTTTTGGCTGACAACATGATTATCATAACATCTAAAAGAATGTTGTCACAGGAAAGTTCACCTTGAACACTGGTGGTGTGGCCAACATAATTAGTGGACCTTCGATGTTTGCAGCTTTAAGCTGCGGATCCGGAATGGCCTGACTCCATGACAGACAGCATCCTCAGAAATAGATCTCGTAGGATTTTGCTGCATCCAAAACCATTTTTTCAAACGGAATCCAATCCTGACCCGTCGCCTTTACCGCTTTGGTTCCATCAACTTCCCTCCCATCAGGGGGTGTGCTGTAGTCTTTTTCGTAACCCTTGCCCGGTTCTCCCTCCTTGATGATGTCTCTCCTGCCGGGGTAGGCCTTGCGCAGAATATCACAGTACGCCTGGATATTGGCATAGTTTTTACTGCCGCCCGCAAGATAACGCTGCTTGTCCGCAACGTCTGGTCTATCGGCCGCAAACACAACCAGGCGTGCGACGTCGCGGACGTCGACGTGCGTCCCGTTGCCCGGACCCAATGGAGACACCTCCTCGCCGTTCATGACACGGTACGTGACGATGGCAGTGTCGCTCAGCTTCTTGGGGTCATTGGGCAGGATCAAGGGCGGGCCAATGACCCAGACCGGGTTGATCGCCGTCATGCTGAAGCCGATGCGGTCCAGGTTCCTCTCCCGGAAATCCCAAAGGGCACGCTCGCCCTTGACCTTGCTCGCGACGTAGACCTGGGCGCCGGTCGCGTCCTTCCCAGCCTTCTCAAGTGTCTCCTCGCCGTCGTCGTTCCAGTCCTCCTCCGTAACGGTGCGCCCCTCGAACCGCGGGCCATGGCCCCTGATGGCGACGATGGACGACAAGTACACGAACGACTTCAGCCCCGGCTCCCCGACGGCCGAGTCCAGAATGCCGAGGGTGCCCTTCACGGCCGCGCTCAACACTTGCTCGGCATTAGTGTTGGAGAAGTCGACCGGGCTCGCGATGTGGGCGATGACGGCCACGCCCTTGACCGCGTCGTCAAAGGCGCCCGGAACCGTGATGTCGGGCACGATGGCCGTGGAGAGCTGGCCCGATGCGGTATACGAGGGAAGCACGTCGGTGAGGCCCGTCGCCGAGTTCTGAGATCTGACAGCGGCGCGCACCGAGTAGCCGGCCAAGAGGAATGCCTCGACAGCCCGGGCGCCGATGAAACCGTTGGCACCGGTGACGAGAGCGAGGCCCTTGGTCGACGACATGTCGCATTAATAGATTTGTTCCAGTTCTATGTGTTGGGCTTGTTGCAGAAGCGGGTCTTTCAACTGGGCTTTGCTGCGTTTGATGGAGTCGGTTTCGTATAGACAATTGATCTGTGGGCGTGAAAGGCACTCGTTCATCCACCCTAGCATTATATGTTTGAGCGGTGTTGTTTATGTTGCGGCGTTGTCGGCCCGGCTTTAAAGGGGGTTTTCTACGTCTTATCGCCAGCTTTAACCCCGCATCTTTTCTCTCTGCCGCGGGACGAACCAACGGACGAACAATGATGCCATAAATCAGCCCTTAAATTTCGAAAAAACTCCTAGCGCCGTGCCCACCTGTGGGTTCCGAAGTGATACATGGCGTTTCTTATCGCCGAAGTCGCGAAGCCGAGTATGCAGACGGCCGTGTTGCTTACTGATGTAAACATGTGTTGCTTACCGTAGCAAGCATTGCTTTGTAATGGTAGCTGAAATGACCCCGCCAATTGGCGGGAGATATCACAGCGGGTTCCATGAAATGGGAGCGTCCGGGTATACTGACCAACACAATTCTAGATAGCCTATTTAGTCAGAAGTATGTAATTGCCGTTGCAGGACCACTACCCTCGCACCCTATTTTCTTTAAACCGCCACAATAGAAACCAGGTGGCGAATACTAGGTAGATCACGAGAATAGATCAATGCCACAGGCAGACGCGCTCAGGTCCTGGAGACCTCCATGCAGCAAGTCCATACAGCAGCTCATTGATGCAGGCGAACACATGTTGATGGTTAGTGTCGTAGAAGCAAGCTACTATTCTTGGGTAAGCATCATAGGCATAATGTCAAGAGAAGAAAAGGGAGAGAAGAACCACTTCTTTGTACAGTACACGTACGAATTGGGATTTCCCTCCTCACGCAGCTCAATCCCAGGTAAATAGAGGCTACCCTTAAATGGTTATGACGGAGCCTCATGCAGGAGAACAGCCGTTGGCGCGAGCCTCGTGATACCGGTGCCAAGGTGCGATGCTACGTAGGCTTTATTATATCTGTTTTCCCTGGTGTAGGTGTTCTACGCCACTACTACTAGGTCATCGTATCAGCAAGTTGGATCATTTCAGAGAGAAATAGAGAGTAATAACCATCACCAGAATGTACGCCAACATAATAATTATACATTCAAACTCACCTATAGGTCCGAGTCCTTGATCGCTGATGGAGACTGATTGCGCGTTCCCTTTGTATGGAAATCATGGTTGACGAGACTGGTTCTAGGGTTAAGTTGTCGCGGAAGAACCTCGACCATTGGAGCCTACACACACCTCTTTACTGGCTGCAACCTCAAAACTATTTTCCCTATGTCGCACTGCTCGAACATGTTCCAAGTATTAATCGTTCATAGTGTCATATGGAATTCTTTTTGCGGCTATTATAGTCGAATGTTCCACACATTGACCAGTCTTCACTCAACAATTGCTAGAGCAGTTCGATACTGTTCATAGTGACCTCAATCCAATCCCGGATACTAGATGGATACTTTACACGTGCCGAAACAGATATTGGTCAAGTTGATATATGGGTTGGCACGTCAAATCTGTTGATTCTAATTGGCTCATACTCTCCGGTTCGTAGTCAATTCTCCACCGAGAGCATGGGTCCTCCAAAAGAACGACCTTTTTTTGTTCACGTCATCCATCCGGCATTCGGACTTTACCCCACTACTTGCGGTGACCGGTCTACTGCGCTCGTCTTGGCGACCTCGTTAGCCTTAGTAAACGCACAGTAACCATCGGCAACTCGATCGTCGGTGGCAAACTGCCATTCCGTCAAGTTCAGCAAGATACGATATCCCTGTAAAGGTATGGCCTCTCGTGTCGGATGATGCATGGCAAAGAGGCTGTTGAGTTTCTCAAGGCAAGCTTTAAGGCAGACTTTTAAGATATTGATTGACATTCATAGACCAGGTAATCATGGACCCATCCCAGGGAAGTCAACAATTGCCACCTGAGGCTATCGCTCTTGCCGGGCGCATGTATGATGGTGCGCGAAAGGGTGATATTGCTCTCTTTCAGCAAGCCTTGCCAGCTGGATTGCCCGGCAATATGACCAACGAAAAAGGCGATACATTGGTAAGTGTTTTGCTCCTTGGCATTTTTCAAAACTCACTGACAAGGTACGCACCCCAGCTTATGTTGGCTGCTTACCACGGGCATGCGGAGTTGGTGAAGCTCCTCATCCAGCACGGAGCTGACCCTAATCGTCTGAACGATAGAGGGCAAAGTCCTTTGGCGGGAGCTGTATTCAAGCAAGAAGACGCAGTCATAGAGGTAAGAGCCTTATCGCCCTTCCCGAATGAGAGATGCAACTTGATTTCTATCATTGTCTCTTCTGTACATGTGACAAGCTGATGCTCCAGAACAAGGTTCTTCTCGAGAATGGGGCAGATCCAGACTACGGCAACCCGAGCGCACTGCAATGTGTCGTCATGTTTAAGCAAGAAGACAAGTGGCAAACCAAGTTTGAGGCTGCACCTGGGAGAGGCAAAGCCACTGCATAACAAAGCTCCAGGTCCAGGTCCCAGGGGTACTGGCTCTCGGCATGCCAAGGTATTAAAATCGTTCCATTGCTCAACGAAGGAGAGAAGAGAACTCTACACAGGCCAATATAAATCATCTAATAAGAAGACCGATGCTGTTATTGGGCTTGCTCCAGTCCCTCAACCTTCTGTCCATATACAGTATATATGGCTGTATGCGAAAGGGTTTCTAAGCAGGTGCACTTTGGGGACGAAGGGAATGACTTCCTCATCAAGAATGACATCGAAAGCTCCCCTTTCAAGTTCTTCGCCAACGTTTGCAAAAATGGACAGAACTTCGTCCTCCGTTCGGCCGAGCACCCAGCAGAAAAAGCCTAAGAGAAAATCCTTCCAGGCCATGCAGGTGCTGTACCGGTTCAAGAATGCCCACGTCTTTGACATGAGCTGTGGCGTCGAGATCGGTGGAAATGGCGCAGAAAGGAGCCTAATAAAGGGTATGGAGGAACAGGACGGTCTTCCTCTTTTTGATGGAGGCAGAAACGCCCATAAAGAAGTGCCAAGGAGCAACAGGGGCTCGCTACATGTTTATCAATGCTACTCATGAGAAAGCGAGTTAGTATGATCCACTGGTGGCGCAGACCAAGCGGCCTATATGCAGTGCACATTCTCCATTCGAATCCCTTGTCCACCGAGCTTGTGTCTCTCATGACTCGGCGCCTCAGAACCTATGATTAATAGCAATTGTACGCTTTTCAAGGTGACCATTGGAATGTCGGTACAGGTGTTCGCTGATATGCAACCCCTCCAACTCATCCTGGCTAGAGACGTATCTCGATATAGTGACGGTGAAGCTTACGTCAATGTAGGCTCTGCCATGTACCAGAGAACAAGTGACATTTGCAGTACTTTTTGCCATAGGAGTGTTGCATCCAGACCTTCTAAGCAGAACAATGCACGGAATATAGTGTGTCCTCTGCAACAAAACCCACATCTTTTCCACGTTCGCCTTCTGAAACATAGCCGAGCCCATATGATGTTCTGCTGCAACGGTCCAAGCCATTGAGGGATCCCATGGAAAGCCACACTTCTCTATTGGTTGGTTTGGAGCATATATTGACGAGAGTCAATGTCGTCTGATGATCGATCATTGCTCTTCTCAAAACCGCCATGTAGCTATGACAAACGATGCCATTCATATGTTTCTGACCTGCCATTTTCAAAGGAAGCCACCTCTGGCGCTATGCCGGAACCATGTTCTGTGTGTGAAAGAAATTATATAGGTGCCAATGTGAGCTGCTCCCAAAGCTGGCATACAGGTCAGCCATACTAACCATAACTGAGAGTGTTAATATATTTCTTAATAAAGCCATTTTTAACGGTCTTGATACCGTCATATTGCTGGTTATCGGAGTTACTTATTAGTTTGCTTTGTGATAAACATTTCGGAAGGGAGAGATGTGGTGGTGGCACCAGGTTGTACGAGCACAAATGATGAATAAGAAAAGCCGCGCGGCAGTTGTATTGTGACGATAAAAGGGCTGGCCATTCCTAGGCATTTAATACCTTGGAGAATGGTCCCTAGGGATGCCGGGTTCTTCCGAAAGAACCGCACGTTTTCTCCTTGCTGATTCAGTCCTTTATTCATGACCTGGCTATGAAGTTCAACCAGGGTTTTTATTTGGAGGACAAAGCCCTTAAGCAAGGGGATTCCGCTTGGCGCTTGTTTGGGACAAGAATTGACAGTTTGCCATGTATTATTCACTTCGGTTGATGAGTCAAAGCTTCTCGACGGGACGGATGGATTTAAAGACGAGACAAACTCCGTTCTGATATTGCCTATTTGTTTTTCAACAGGTTGCTATCAACACCACAAGACCTCAGACGAGCTCATCACTGCATTCGTTCATCATAGCCTGAAGTCTTGGTATCCGAGAACAACATGAAACTATCAGCCATAGCCAACGCCTCCTTGATCCTGCTGAGCCTTGGTGGCCCAGCTTCCGCTAGCTCGCGCTGCCTGCGGCGAAAAGAAAAAGGAGGCATTATTCACCAGATCACGATTGAAGATGTGGGTTCCTTATTCATCGCGGGGACATGCGGAAGGCTCTGGGATAACCTCAAACGACACCCCGCTTGCATGGTTTTCAAACCCAACGGATGCGAGGAGGCCGGCGGCCAGAGCATTTACTGGCACTTCAAGACCAGTTTGGTTTGCAACGCCGGAATGGTGCACTCGGCCTTTTACGAAGCCACAAGAAACTATTGGGGTGCCATAAGGTGCGAATGAGGACCCCTGTAGTGGGCTATTAACGAGTGTGGCCTTGATAGGCTAGGCAGGGAAACCGCAAAGCCTTCGCCACATTGATCGTCATGGGTTGTGCGGGAAAGACAAAGATGGATTTCTGACCGGGGCACTTGGGCTGGGAAGATTATGAGTTGAAGCATGGGCTGTATGCCTCGGACGGGTTGAACTATCCATGGATAGCAATTTTCAAAGAATATCTATTAGGCACGGACGTAGGTATGCAAAGAATTTGTTAGCCGCGATATCAGGCTTTCTTTCCTAGGTATGCCGAGTTTACGACTAACAAACATTATTTCTGTTTCTCCAATCCCTCTCCTTAGTAGCCAACTTCGAAACATAATGACTACCCTTTTCTCACTATAGCCAATTTTTGTGGACTCTTCTATAAGACGGCGTTTGGCTTCAATCCACAGGGAATCGGGGACTATCTACTCTTTCTAGCACTTGATCTAGTGACCCGCATTCCAATGGACCGTATTCAAAACCGACCGCATTCATCCAGGCCTCCTGAACCCAGCGACGCCTGCAAGACACGGGGGTCCGCAACTCGATCTCAATCCCTTGCTGGATAGATCTGCATCTATATCCATCCTTGAGATCAAACGAACAGTGACTCCTCCATATCAAGTCCATCATGAAATCTCGGCAGACTCCGGCCATCTTATTTGGCGGGACAGCAGAGAGAATGTAGTACTCCAGGCCGGAGGTCTTGTTGTCGGCTCCGACGAGGCTTTCGCGCCAGCAGTGTGTATATAGTCGTGGGTGATGAGGGTTGACTTTGATTACAGGAGGCATTGTGTGTATGGCACCGAGGACGGTTGTGACCAGAGCTAGTATTGGCGCTGCGATGCTTGCGAATTTCATGACTGGTAGATTTGGAGTAAGAAATCGACCGAAGATGATGAGTTTCCGTATCGTAGAGGGAAGAAAACGTGGTTATAGATGAATATGTTGCAAAGTAGGTTGGAATCAAATACGGCAAGTAGCCATCACTCAAGATTTTATAGCACTAGATTTGAGGATATACAGGTTCCATGAACCACACAAAACGAATTACCTTGTGAACGCGATGTCGACCTTGAGTGCCCATCATGTCAAGCAATTAAGTTTATCCAACGAAGCTATCCAGGTGTGCGGATCTCCAGCCTAGCCTCGCCTGTCGACCACAGGAACTGATAAATAAAAGAGGTGCGGGAACAGGTGACGAGAAATTCGAGAACAAACCTCCAAAAACCAGTGGTTCGTCCAGCGGCCGTAGAACCAGATCCACAGAACAAGCTGCGTAGCTCCCAAGTTTCGATTACTGATTGATCCATACCTTTTCATTCTTCGGAGGTTTTTAGGCTAGTAATTTCAGCGGTTCTTTCTCTTTGTTCGACATTTTAATAGACACAGTGCACCTGATTATCTGCTGCTTCTCAAACCCTTTTACCTTGCCTTTGGTCTACATCTGCCCTCGCTCTAGTGCTCAAGGTAAATAGATGTCAGAGCCCTCCAAACGACGAACACATACTTGAATGTTTTACTCGGCTACAACATCATAAAAACTTTCGGTATGAACGAATACTACGGTGAGTCTGCAGGTTACTACCTGCCTAGAAACGAGTATGCGGATTATTATGTATACCCGCCTAGAAACGAGCCGCCTAGAAACGAGTCTGTAGGTTACTACTACCCGCCAAGAAACGAGTCTGAGGTCTATGACCGCCACTCTCGTGCAAACGAGATCGCTTTGCCTGTGGTGGGCCGGCCTGCTCAGCAACGGGCAGTCCTACCCGAGCCCAACTATCGTCCGTTTCGTTTGTGCCCGGTGCCGGGCGTCTCGCCTGCGGAACCGCGGGTTTCAACTTCTGGAGATGGCATCCACTTGCCCCGAATAGGAGACATACCGCCCCCCCAGCTGGCATGGGCGGGCAGGTTTCCATTGAGACCCGTTCAAGAACTGATCAGAGACGTCGACGACCATTTTGGGCCGCCATGGAACCAACGATCGCGAATCGGGGTGGTGAATTTCCAGGGACCCGTCAGTCGTGTCCCCCTTGGAGACGACGTTGATTGTTTCGGACGACTTGAAGGGGCCATCTCTTTCATCCACAAGGTGTTGCTACACCGGCAAGAAAATCCGGGAACGTTTTACGGGATGGGTGACGGCAGTGTGGTTTATGAATCGGAAACCATCAACGGGCGGGTTGTCAACTACCGCAACGCCGGACCGCCTACGTTCCAGTGGGACGAGGTTCGACCAGAAGCCGGGTACGGCTGGGCTGGTCACGCCATTTACGCCGCTTACAACGACCAGATTAAGGCACATGAAGAAGTGCCGAACGACGACGAGTGGTCCAGGTCCCTCAGAGAGGTCGATTCGGAGTATTTTCCGTACGAGCAATGGCACCACCAGAACCCTCCGCCCGAGTTACAAGATGAAAGTCAACAGGATCTGCGGGCTGCTACAGGTGGCGAAGCGACTCGTTAGGTGAGAAATTATACATCACGTTCGAATGCTCCTTTGTAATCAATGCAGTAGCCCCTGATCCAAGGATGGGGCGGACTGTCAAAGGCTCTATCCCCGTAACGTTCCCGGTGGCAATCTTGGTGGCAGTTTTGGAAGCCATCGAGGATCGTACAGTTACTTCCGAAGAGTTCGATTCAAGATCGGTCCGATGTACAGTGAGCGTCCCTATACAATAGTCTCTCAATGGGACTCAAAGGGTCCTGCATGAGTCGTTCTAATGGGCCGATAATCAACACTTCTTTCTTGGATCACTCGCCTTAAATCTTCGATATTGGACGAGACCTGCCGTAAGTAGTCCACTGAGCTACTGGGGCTAGCCAGCAAACCATGACAGCATTCATACTCATGCACTGACTCGACAGATGATAGCGTCAACGCGCTTCAACAGCCTCGTATTGCATTTTTCGTCAATACGTTTAACCTAAATCCTGCTTCGCATAGAATAACTACTGCATCGTGAAGGACACCGGTGCAAGATGTCGGAAGGTTGAACCAGTCAATGGCTCGTCGTATGTGTGGCTAACACGCATTGATGATTGGGATATACCGCGCGGAATTGGTGTGGTATGATTGGCATTAAACGGCTTTCATATTCCGAGGGACGTTTTGAACTCAACTTGAACAACTAGTTTCCAAGAATCGATATAATACTAAGTGTAGCCAGACCCGCCAGTGAGCAGCGAGCTCTCGTTATGTATAGTGTGGGACACGTGCTGTTGATCTTTATGCTGCATATTGCATTACCCAACTCTAACTTCAAATAAATGCGCCCCCCCCCCCCATTTACTTCGGCTCCATGTGAAAGCCGCACTATCCTTGAACCCCGGTCAGCTTTACCTGCTCAGTAGTTCCTCCAACCTCTTCAGCGCGTCCCTCTCCACCTCCTCCATCGGTGGCTGCACGTCGATACCAACGACGTCGCACTCGTCCTCCTGTGGCGGGTCCAGGCTCTGGAACTGGCTATGCACGAGGTTGGAACCGGCAAAGTGGCCGTGCCTATTCTTGACGCGCTCGAATAGAACGTCCTCGGGGGCGTGCAGAGTCACGAAGTTGACAAAGATGTCCTTCTCCGGGTGGGAGGCGCCGCGCAGCACGTCGCGGTAGGCCCGCTTCAGCGCGGAGCAGGCGACGACGACACCGCGCAGGCCGTCGGTCTCCAGCTCGCGGAGGGCCTCGTCGCGGAGGCTGTCGAGCCAGCCCCAGCGGTCGTCATCGGTGAGGGCCTCGCCCCTGTGCATCTTTTCCACGTTTTCTTTGGGGTGGTACTGGGCGCGGTGGCGGTGGTGTCAGTGTCATTGCGTCCATGCGCTTGGGAGGAGGGGGGCACAGACATCGTCGCCCTCGATGAAGTTCATGTGGAGGGATTCTGTGAGGTACTTTGCTATGGTGGTCTTGCCGGACCCCGTTGGCCCCGTCAGGAAGATTATGTGCTGTTTCGGGCGCGACATGGCTGGGGACCTTGCAGCAGACGTGTCGATGCTCGAGGACAAGGCCGATTCTGGGCGAGCCTGGAGATAATGCTCCCTCGGTCCGGATCTCAGCAGGATCAGAGCACGCGGGGGGAGTTGGTTCAGACCAGCGAAGTTTCCGATGCCTCTGGGGACTGGACATTCAAACAAAGACGATAACTAGGACGATAACTAAGTACGTCAGAGGAACGGGGCCGAGAAAAAAAACAAAAAAAACAGAGTCAAAGTGACCACCCAAGTGTTTCTTTGTCTTCCGGATGGTCTGATGTCTTGAAATGGCTTCCCCAACCACAGTGCCGCCCATCCGTCGCGTTCTTCTTGTTGCATTCCTGTTGGATGGCCGGTGCAATTGCTGGATGTCGTTCGGATGATGTCATGCGGCGGACCTAGCAGCGGGACGTTTCGGTCGAGCCAAAACCGTTCGTGCCATGTCCCTCCCTTTTCATTCAATGATAGCCGGGACGAACGTGTCAGACATTACAGAACGGGATGGTATTGGCGGAAAAGCCATCAAGCGGCGCGGGCACATGGAAGACCGTTCAGAAAGCTTGCTCATGTCGAAGAACACGGCGGCGGCCACATGTGGGCAAACGGCATGGATGGCAGCATGAATACCATCCGGGCCGGCATAAAGAAAGACTCGTGCGCCTCGTGTTCTCTCGAAGAAAATAAGCGACTCGACTCTGCAAAATGCCATTTCAGTTTGTCAAAGTCTGTCCTCCCGGCTGTGCCGAATTCTTTCCATGGCAATCAATTGATGGATAGATAGATGGACACAAGTCATGGACGATTGATGCGTGGGAACAACCGTTGGCAGTCGGCAGCGGGTGGATGATTGAGTAAGAGATATGAGAGTTCAGCTGATGTCACTCACATGTAATCTCACCCAATAGGCGCTGGTCTATTAGTCTAGTTGGTTAGGACGTCGGATTCTGATTACGTTCAGATTCTTCCGTAGGCCCAGGTTCGAATCCTGGATGGACCTAGTCTTTTGCCTTTAGCGTCACCAAATCAAATTTTTATTGGTGCTTTACAGTTTATATCCATTTCGCACTACTTATTCACCGCGGAGTATCTATCTAGTGTTCCGTCTGAGTCTGGGTCAGTTGATTTGTTCCACCAAAGCCGGTTTGCTGCACCTGTTCTTCTATGCGGGATACGCCTCATTGGCGGACTGACTGGATGGTTCACATACATTGCACCAAACGAAACGTGCGGTCACGCACTGATAGGGTCCCTCGGCGTGAAACCCACTCAACTCATCCCCGAACATGGGAGGAACAGCATCATCGTCGTCTCGTATTCTCCTCCCCTTTAACCTTTTTTTGTTTGTTTGTTTTTCCTCTTTTTTTTTCCCCTTCTTTTTTTCGGTCCAGTAATCTGACGTCGAGGTTGATTTACCGATGGACGGACAGATGGATGGACGTACGTGTCCGTCAGAAAAGTCTACCCGTATCGCACATCCCCGGCGCCCTCGCGGAACCAGTCGTCGGCCGCCAGCGCTTCCTCGGGGCTCGCGTAGCTGATGATGGTGCTCTTCGTCGTCGTGTAGGCGTGGTACGCATCGATGCCGTTCTCGCTGCCGACGCCGCTAGCGCTCTTCGCGCCACCCCACGGACTGCTGGGGTCGTTTCGATGGTGCGTGTTCACCCACACGATGCCCGCGTCGATCTGCTCCGACACTCGAAACGCCTGCGCCACGTCGCGCGTCCAGACGCCCGCCCCCAGCCCGAATTCGCTGTCGTTGGCGAGCGCGATGGCCTCCGCCTCAGTCTTGAAGGGCGCCACCACCACCACCGGCCCAAACGCCTCCTCGCGCCAGATGCGCGTCTTGAGGATGTCGCCCTCGGCACTCGACACCAGCACCGTTGGCTCGAAGAAGTAGCCCCTGGAGAAGTCGGTGCCGTCGATGCTGCTCGTCCCAGACATGCGACGGCCGCCTGCGAAGGCCGAGCCCTCTGCGGCAAGCGCCTCGTTGACGAGCGCCTCCACGTTCTGTAACTGCTTCGCCGAGACCAGGGGTCCCATCATGGACTCCCCGTTGCTCGGGGATCCCATCCGTCGCGCGATGGACTCGGCCTTGGCCCTGAGCCTCTCCAGCACGGGCTGCAGGATGGTGTCCTGGACGAGGATCCTCGTGCTGGCGACGCACGTCTGGCCGCTGGCGATGAAGGACCCGAATGCGATGCCATTGACGGCGACGTCGATGTCGGCCTGTTCAAACACCACCAGCGGCGCCTTGCCCCCCAGCTCCGCCGTGTAGCGCGCCAGGTTGCCGCCGACGATGGACCCAATCGCCCTGCCCGCCGCTGTGCCGCCCGTGACGTCGACCTTGCGGACGAGCGGGTGCTCGACGAGGGACCTGCCCGTCGTCGCGCCGTAGCCCGGGAGGACGCTGAAGACGCCGTCGGGCACGCCCGCCCGCTTCAGGATCCCGCCCAGCAGCAGCGTCGTGAGGGGCGTCAGCTCGCTGGGCTTCACCACGACGCTGTTGCCGGCCGCCAGCGCGGGCGCCACCTTCTTGACGGCGATGAGCAGCGGGTGGTTGAAGGGCGTGATCTGCACCACGACGCCCAGGGGCACGCGGTCGACCCAGTTGTGCAGCTTGCCCACGGTCGGCAGCACGGCACGCTCCTCGGTGCGCAGCAGGGCGGCGTAGTACTTGAACCACTTGACCAGCGTGGGCACCTGGGCGCGCATCTCGCGTATCGCGCGTCCTGTCTGGCGCACCTCGAGGGGGATCAGCGAGGCCAGCTCCTCCGTGAGAAGCTCCGCCGTCTTGTCGAGGACATCGGCGCGAGCATGACGGGGCAGTTTGGACCACGTGCCGGCCTTGAAGGTCTCGTGCGCGAGACGGATGGCCTCGTCGACGTCTTGGGGGTCCGCTGCGTGACAGCTGCATGAAGCAGTTAGATGTCAATCGAACAAGAATGGACGGCGGATGGAGAGGGGTCCGAGAGCTGATGGCTTTGGGGGGGGGGGATGTCAACTTACTGGGCAAAGACCTCACCGGTCGCGGGGTCCTCAACAGGAATCCTGATGCAGTGTGAGAAGTCGATCATGAAGCACGAGCACAGATAAGCGTCCTGCACCCCTCGCTGCGGGGGAGAGGGGGATCAAGAGGAGGTCACGAACTGTTCTGCATGTCCCGGTTTCTCATGGCCTCCGACCCAGAGGTTGTACGTCTGGGCTGTCATCTTGTCTTTTGTGCAGCTGTCACTGAGTTGTTGTTTTTTTCCCCTTCTTCTTTCGTATGTGAAGAATATCACCGGTACAGCACCTTTTTTCTTTTGAGTGAACTTATGTTACATTCTTAAATCTTACACAACTGCGGGGGGGAAAAAAAACAATGCGGAAATGCCACCACCGATAGATAGCGCTTACCGGCCGGCTCCGTGTGCAAGCAACTCTTCCCCCTCCCCCTGCCCCCCTCCGGCGAGATAACAAACTCGCCGCGTTCCGGGGTTGGTGGTCGCATTTTGTCAACGCAATCTCGTAACACGCGACGCAAACCCACAGACAGGGATCAGCGTCTAAATGCGAAGCGTGTTTAAGCTTCGCGGCCAGCTAAGACCAGCGTCTGCCTAGTGCTTGCTTTGGTTCCTTTTGCCAAGCAGGGAACGGATGGGGGGCAGGGAGCAGCAAACCCCTGTCCCTGCCATCGTCCGCTAAGCCTTAATTGAGGCTGAATACGGCTGGAAAGCGGTAGTAGTAGTAGCAGCAGCAGCAGCAGTAGGAGCAGTAGTAGTAACTACACTTCAAGGGGGGCACGATCTCGCTCGGCTTTGAAGGGTACAAAGCGCACATGCTCTCTCTCGACGAAGCATGTTTCTCGGTCCTGCAGGCAAAACGCAATGAACCTATTGGAGAACTGGAGCAGCCGTCAGCTCAGACTCTACCTCAAACCTACAGGAAACCCCCTTTCTGTCATTGCAAAAGACATACGATGGATTGAAAAAAAAAAAAAAAAAAAAAAAAAAGGCATGCACAGCTGCCTGCCATTGAACCTGAGCCCAAGTTCGGCCGGATCGCGTCGTCGTCCATTATGCCATATAAGCCGGCATCCGAACGATTCTAGCCATTGGGACCCCCCTCCCCCCCCCCCCTTTCTCCTGGTGAGCGATGCCAGTTAGTTGAGAATTTCTGTTAAACGGCCGGGTTGATTCCCCCTTTCCATTTCTTGCTCCGGTTCGCGGCTGGATAGAAAAAGAGTCTTGATCTAGCCAGAGCTCGTCGTTGTAAGCCAACAGCAACGACGCCCCCTGATACCCCCATTTCCTTTTTTTCCATTTCTTTTTTTTTCCCCGTATTCTTTCGAAATAACTGCCCATCATGGATTACGTGCGCTCTCTTGTCGGCGTCAACACGAAGAAGATTCAGGTGCCCAAGGTGGCAACGGACGATGTGTACCCGGTTCACTTCTTCGACGATACGAAGCCCTTTCGTGAGATGCTCATGAACTGGACTCTCCGATTCGACGATGTCCTCGACGCCGAGAAACTTCATCTCTCGCTCGCCAAACTCCTGGATATTGGAGACTGGAGGAAGCTCGCTGGACGAATGCGGTTGACCGTGAGTGTTATCCTCCCCGCCTTTCCTACCGGCTGCCAGCCCGTTTCCCTCTTTTCTCCCCCTTTTTTTGTTTTTGTTTGGTGAAGAAAACCTCAACTAACGCGAGTCACCCGCTCAGAAAGACAACAAACTCGAGCTTCACGTCCCGCACAGGTTCACACCAGCCCGCCCCGCCGTCCGCTTCTCCCACGTGGTCCACAACATGAGCATCTCGGAACACAAGTACGCCAAGGACTTGCCCAAGACCACCGCTACCCCGTCCATCCAGCCTGGTGTCGTCAACTTCTACACCCTCGGCGCGCGCGAGGGCGCACCCCGCACGCTCGAGGACCTCATCTCCTCGGACGAGCCCGGCATCGCCCTGCACGTCGTCTCCTTCAACGACGCGACCCTCGTCGGCCTCCTCTTCTCCCACGTCCTCTTCGGCGCCGCCGGCATGCAGGCCCTCGTCGAGGCCTGGTCCCAGGTCCTTGCCGGCCGCGAGGCCGAGGTCCCCGTCCTCCACGGCGCCCGCAAGGACATCCTTGAAGACGTCGGCGTCGACACGGACCCAGAAAAGGAGACGCTCCTGCTCGACCGCCGCGTGCTCAAGGGATTCCGGCACTTCCGCTTCAACCTGCGCTTCCTCTGGGACATTATGCGCCGCCCCGAGATCGAGTCCAAGATCCTCTGCCTGCCCGGCGACTTCGTTGCCAGCCTCCGCGCCCAGGCCATGGCCGACCTGCACGCCATGGACGAGAAGGGCATGGGCACCGGCGAGGCCCCTTTCGTCAGCGAGGGCGACGTCCTGACCGCCTGGTGGACCCGCATCGTCTGTCTAGCCCGCGGGTCCAACCGCCCTGTCACCGTCCTCAACGCCGTCGACATCACCGCCCGCCTCAAGGGCGTCTTCGCCCCCGGAAAGCTCTACGTTCAGAACTTCGCCCTCGGCACCTGGACCCTCCTCAGCTCCGCCGAGGTCCTCAAGGCTCCCCTCGGCTACGTCGCTCGCTGCTTCCGCTACGACATCCAGACACAGACCACCCCGTCCCAGCTCATGGCCTTCATGCGCCGCGTCCGCCAGCGCGGCCGCTGCAAGACGCAGCCCATCTACGGCGACCCCAACAGCATGCTCATCATCTTCACCAACTGGTCCCGCTGCAAGTTCTTCGACTGCATTGACTTCGCCCCGGCCGTCATCCCCAGCATCAACAGTATCAACAGTATCGCGAGCATCGCGGAACTGCCCGCAGTTGCCGAAAACAACCAACCAAACAGCGAAGACTCCATAACCAGCGACGGCGTTAGCAACGGCGGCGGCGACCTGGAGAAGCAGGCCAACAACGCCAGCATCGCTCAGGTGCTGAGCCGCCCGGCCCCCGGTAAGATCTCCTACCACCACTCCATGACCCGCACCCGCACCATCCTCTCTCGCAACGTCTTCACCATCCTCGGCAAGGACGTTAACGGCAACTACTGGGTATCGGCCCTGGGACACCCCGAGTGCTGGGACAAGCTCGAGAAGGAGGTTGCCATCTCCTCCATGGATACCTTGAGGCGGCTCCGCCCCGAGACGAGACAGTAAAGGGGAGAGGAGGTGGTGGTGTCGAAGTAGCTCCCCCCATCTCCCTATTTGCGGCCTCCTGACGCGGTTTTCTTTTCTCTTCTTTTTTCCTGCGCAGTTGTCTTTTTTGTTTCCAAAGCGTCACCGGCTGTGTGATTCGGGTTGTCTAGGGGGAATTGTTAACCATTCCGGCTTACCTTGCTCTGAACGACTGATGGGGAGCGTGGTGAGGGCGTGCAGACGATTAGTGCAAGTGAGGGAGTAAGAGGGAAAGTGAACGGAGGTTAGTCGATGGTGGACTATATCCAGATTGTACTGCCAGGTATGCGCAATAAAAGAAAGCAACTTCATGACGACACTTCATCGTTGACCTTTCGCGAAAACCTGTAGACGGCTTTCCAACCCCCGTAGATGCGGATGCCTCAATCTCTCCTAGGTGTATCTCCATAATGGAGGAGGCGTTCCAAATAAGGCATCGAATCGCCTATACGGCGGCCTAACCATCATGGTCGAGAAGGTTTGGGGCGTTCGACCGTGGAAATGGCGCAGTAGTCGTTGGGGGAAACAGTCTTCTTGCTCGCCTGGCTTTCATCTCTGTTGGTATTACAGGAACCAAGATGAGTATATCTGTATCACTTGCGAGTGGTGATAATCGTGTGTGATTGACGTTAGTTGAATGCCATACAAGGTGGGTAAGTAGGCAATAGTAGTAAAGTGATGCAGGTGAGGATTTTGTGCCGGGTGATGGGTACCGTGACTCACTTCGCTGCACCTTCTATATCCCACCGACAATATCACTTTGACAGGCAGGGAGACGTCGTACCAAAAAATATTGCCAAAGAAAAGGTGCTATTTCGTTTCTATGGATCTGTTGCCATGACAAACAAAATGTGCAAAGTGCGATCTAATACACTGGTATCAAAATCTAACAATTACTGCAATATCAAGCTTGGTATCACGAATGAATTTAGAATCAGGGATGCTGTAATAGAAACAAGAGCAGGAAAGAGAAAACGCGAGGGGGGGAAAAGGGAAAAACCATATGCCTGGCATGCCATTATCCGCTCCATGCTCAACTCTCTCTTATCTTCGTCAGTCATTAAGGGCCCAAAGGCCTCTTAGTCGTCCATGAAAAACCTAACAATCTCCTTGAGGTCAAAAAGTGTCACACCGCGGCGCGGGTAGCAGATGTATACCTGCTCGCCCAAGACGCCAAACTTGTCTCTGAACTCAGCCTTGTTGCCGAGACCGAGGCTCTTGACGATACCAGCGTACATCTTGCTCAGGAACTTGGCACGAACGCCGTGCAGGTGCTCACCGGGCACCAATCTGTCGCTGACGCCGGCTCCGAAGGTCACAGGGCCCGAAATGCACGACAAAGCGTACTCGATAAGCACCTCGATGGTGCCGTTCGGTGCGTCAGGGAAGTCCAGCGCCCACTTGACTTGCCAGCCGTACCTGGGGGCGAGCTGTGCGAGGACAACCATGCACAAGACCTTGCCGTCCTTCTCGGCGGCAAAGTAGCGGCGGTGGGCCTGGTCGATCCAAGGACGAATCTCCGTCAGGTGGACCTGCGTCTTTGACTTGCGTTTCTCCTTCCACGCCTCGATGGCCTGATCGGCACGCTTCATAAAATCCTCGTTAGGTTTGACCTCGTGGATCTTGATGCCCTCCCTCTTGACGCGTCTGGCGGCACGGCCGTCGGGAGTGGTGTGCTGGTCCGCATCCGCCCGCTGCTCCACGGTGCAGCTCAGGGTTCGCCAGCCGATGCGGCGTCCAAGAAGCTCCTGCACCTTGTTGGATACCAGCATCCATACAGGAGTCAATTTAAGATCCTTGGTGACAAACTCAACAAAGGCAGGAACAACCTCTTCATATTGACCCCGGTCGCAGAGAGGGTCTCCAGTAATCATTGCAAATTTGCCCTGCTTGACATATCCAACCGCAGCACCACTGCTGTGGCGCCAAACCTCAAACCTCTCATCGAGCCACGAGGTGTTGGTGGCGTCTCCGTAGTTGGCAATCAACTCTTCCAAGGGAGGTAGCTCCTTTCCGGCCCACGCCTTGGTGGTGTCGGCGCTTGGGTGCGGCAGGGTAAAAGACCGCGATGGCAGAGACTTGGGGTCGCGGTAGAAGAGGGTGCCGTATCTGACATCTCCCAAGTTGAGGAGGAGGAATACGACACGGTCTAATCCGAGACCGGCACCGCCGTGTGGCGGAGCACCCAGATCGAAAGCCTCGAGATATTCGGCCATGTCGTCCTCCGATATGCCCTTTTCGGCCATGTTCTTCCGCAATTCCCTGGGATCATTGATACGCTGGCCACCAGTGCAGATCTCCTGGCCACGGACAAAAATGTCGAACGAGTTGGTCCAGAAGGGGTCATCGGCTTTGTGGGTATAAAAGGGGCGAGCGTTGGCGGGGAACTTGTCCAGGATGTAATAGTCGGTACCGTACTTCTCCTTGACCAATTCTCCCAGGCGGATCTCGTTGGGTGTCGATAGGTCCTCATCTTCAACGTCGCGGCCGTCGTCACGCAGCATTTGCAGGCCATCACGGAACGAGATGATGGGTGTCTCGTCAAGCCAGACAAGGTCTTCACTAGGGAAGCGCTCACGGATGATCTTGAGCTCGGGCATGGAATGAACAGCCGCGAAGATGTTCTTCAAAGTCTGGTCGAGAAGTTTGATGATCTCGTGGTAGTGCTTCTGAATCTTCATTTCGATGTCGAGGCCGGTGTACTCGGTCAAATGACGGTGGGTGTTGGAGTTCTCTGCGCGAAACACGGGGCCAATCTGCACATATGTCAGCACCAGTTGACTTGCACGGGATGAGATTGTGTTACTTACTTCGTACACCTTACCAAAGTCGGCAGATATCGTCATCTGCTTAGCTAACTGGGGGCTCTGTGCCAAAAAGGCCCGCCTTCCAAAGTAGTTGAGCTTGAACACCTCGGCGCCACTCTCGGTAGCGGCGGGCTGCAACTTGGGGGTCTGAATCTCGATGAAGCCGCTGTTGTCAAGGGTCTCGCGGAACTTGCGTGTAATCATGGCGCGCACACGGAACAGCGCCTGGTTGCTGGGGTGTCGCAAGTCAAGGATACGGTTGTTCAACCTGAAGTTCATGTTGTCCGGAGGCTGGTAGTTGCTGAAGGGCGGCGCCTTGGCCGGGTTGAGAAGGTGGATAGAGTAAATGTCCACCTCGACATCGTGGTAGTGTGCCGACTTGACGTCTTGGACAGGTTTCTTCAAGGTGCCGGATACCTGTACAATGGACTCTGGGTGCAGGTGCTGAACCCATTTGACCATGTTGGGGGTGGCGTGGGCGAGGACTCCCTGAAGGGTGTCCGTCTGGTCGCGGAAGAGGAGAAAGTCGAGGTGCTTCGAGATGTTCCTCTGGGTATGTATTCTCGCGCGGAACGTCACCTTGGTTCCAATGTCCAGCTTGACGGCCTCGCCGATAGTGGTCAGCTCGGTCGGATACTCGCCCTCGTCGCCCTCGCCATAGCGCGCTCGGGTCTCTTCATCCTCAGCGCGGCGGCCTTCTTCGTACATGCTTCGGCGGCGTTCTTGGAGCTGGCGCTCTTCTTCCTGCCGGCGTTGCAGCTTCTCGCCGCGTTCCTGGCGCCTGATCTCGCCGCTCCTTACCGGGCTGCGTCCTGTACTAGACTTGCTGGACTGGCTGGTGGAGCTCGAGATGGGCGATTTCTTCTCGAAGACGGTCGTCCTTGTGCGCGTGGAAACGGTTGGGCTAGGCGACGGTGACTTCGAGGGCGAGGTAAACTTCTGCGCAAGGCGCGAGAGGGTGCTCGGTGAGCGTGACACTGCTTCCTGTTGGGTCATGGCGGTATGACCTCCCCTTGGCAAGGGCTAGGCGATGATGTATTTAAGTATATGTATTATACTAGATTGGTTGGAAGACTTGCAGATGTATAATGAATGAGGAAGATGTGACGGGATTCGATGAGCTTGCCAAGACGAGTTTACAAGGGAAGAGGAGGGGGGGGAAGAGGGTAGATGAATACAGGAACAGGGTATAAGAAGAAAAGACTAGGCGTGAGAGAACATGAGTTCGGGTTCCGTCAAGGTCCGTGAGTCGCTTGGCGGAGCAAGAGTAGGTAGTCCCTTTGCTTCCTCGAGTTGGATGTCGTGTATCAGTTACTTGGCAATAGGTACGCCGAGGATCGAGAATTGCCTCGCTTGATGGGACGAAGTCCGGGACACGCGGGCAGTGAGTGACTCAACGACACAGATTCCAGGCTGGGGAACTTGGAATACGTACGACAAGCAAGCTACAGGCAGGGCCGGGAAAGCCAAGTCGGCATGTATCGTGTACCAAGAGACTTGGAATTACCTCACCTTACGCTCACCTCCGAGAAGCTTGGTCGGCGGGTGATTTTCACCCCCTCCACCACCTTGCGCCTTGGCGCTACCACGGAGAAGAAGTTTGCGAAAACCACCACATGGTATGGTACGGAAAGAACCACTCATGGTAACGCACTGGATCGGATCGCATCGGATCGCATCGGGCAGGCGAGGGCAGTGATTATTAAACTTTGTGACTCCTAGACCGGCCGTGAATAAGCAGGTGAGCCAGCTTCGTCCATCTTTCCACATTTTTCTCCCATGGAGCTCCAATCCTCATCGTAGCTTCCTCCGTCTCCTCTGCGTGTTGGGCCGTGTGGTGTCAAGGAAACGTCATTGGCTTGTGGGGCAAAGGTGCGTACGCCTGCACCTGACCCACGGTACTTGGCAAGGCCGGCAAGGTCACGGACGTTGGATCGGAGCTTGTGGATGGCCGAGAGGACCTGCTGAGGTAGGTGCACAACAAACAGAGTGGTCACACGTGGACATTTTGCTCCGGGGGACGCGGCTGCTGGAGGAAGGTCCACTCCTTCCCGCGCTCGATCCAACCTGTTGGGTGAACCCCGGGAGAGAAAGAACGAGAGAAGGGAAGCAGTAAATAAACTAAAGAATAAAAATACAAATACAAATAAAGTAGAATAAGGGAAAGTAAAACCTCAGCCTCAAAAGATGGCCCCAATGGATGAGGGGGCACTCTGTGGTACCTACATCATACCTACCTTACCTAGGTGGTGTAGCAAAACATGACATGATGTTTCTCGCATCGTCTGGAAACTGCGGCATCTTGAGTGAGTTGCTGCTTCCCTAAAAGAAAAAGTGGTTCCACTGCTACCTTAGCTCCGCTCACATCCCGGAAGCTACGGCCCCGCCCTAGCCGCATGCCCCTGCTCTCTGCGCCTCAAGTATGACGTCAAACGCACTCGGCACAGAGTTGGGCACTTGTACACTAGCCACCGTGGCATCCCTTCTCACCTCTGACACCGACCTGACCTCACTTCGGGACAACAGGTAATGAGCAACAAGAATCAATCCCAAACATTGTATTCCGCAACAACGTACTGTAGGTCATCAAATATGCACCTATCGTCTGGTGTCTGGTGGCCGGATAGTGACATCTTGTCTCAGTCCCTCCCTCCCATCGCTGCTCCTTCCGCCTTTGTCATTGTGCTGTCTAACGTCGAGAAAACATTTCTTTGTCCTTCTGATTTTAACACAAAAACTGACATTATGCCTTCATCATCGCTGTGCCACAAACCACCAGCCACAGGTGGTTGATCACCCCCATTTCATCAGCCACACTAGCTCCCCTAATACCTAACTGCCAGCACACACACACACACACACACACACCACATCTCCCCCCTACCCCCTCCCTCTTGCGGCACACCAAGCAAGGTACGCCCTGCCAAGCAAAGGCTACTTGGACATCAACAACAACTCACGCCATCTGTCCCCCTCCATCGGCTGAGCCACTCGGAATCCTTGGGACAACATCAGTCACACCTTTTTCTCGCCTAACTGCCTGACTACCTACCTCCACGTCGACGCCTCACATTTCCCTCCGTCCATCCATCCATTGCTCGAGTTGTCACACCTCCCTTCCCCGTCACCTAGTGTATTGTCAACGGAGCTGATCCGGCATACCCGAGATACAGATACCAACCAAACCACCGCGCTCTGACCGCATTCGACCTACCACAGTACACTACCTCGCTTGAGCATTAACCCCGTTGACTGTTCAATTGCCAGCCTTCTCCACCCCGCTCGAGTCTGGCCTCCTGTGCGCGCTGCGCTGTGTGTTGCGTATCCTGCATCCCGCACCCAGCAAACCCAATGCTGCAGGACAAACTCACCCGCACCTTGTCCAGCATCTCAAATGTTTCCAAAGGGAGCAAGAGCAGCAAAAAGGCGAGCAAGGCTGCTAGCATTGCCAGCAGCGTAGCCAGCAGCGTAGCCGGCACTCCCGACGATGAGTATGACAATCCACTAGAGAACGTGGCTCGCTGGCGCCTGACCGCCAATGCCGTCGCCCTACGCTCGGGGGCCGCATTCGCCTTCGGCCTGCAAAACCGCTCCTCTCCCATCCCACCCGCTGCGAACAGGGTCATCTGGCTCGATTCCACCCTATCGGAGTGGAGCGGCAAGGAGAAGATCAAGGTCGACGTCTGGCTCCCACCCACCACCACTAGCACTAAGCCCACGGGCAAGGTCCCTGCACTTATCAACTTCCACGGCGGCGGATTCGTCCTCGGTCAGGGGACCGACGATGCACGCTGGGCTGGTACCGTGGCTTCCGCACTCAACGCCGTTGTTTTCTCCGTCAATTACCGTCTGGCCCCGGGCTATCCCTTTCCCACTCCGGTAGAGGACTCTGCCGACGCCATCCTGCAGATTGTGGCTCGCGCTGCAGAGTTCCGCATCGATACACAAAAGGTGTTTCTCTCGGGATTCTCGGCTGGAGGCACTTTGGCCCTCGCCAGCTGGATCATCCTCCAGAACCCCGACGAGTGGAGCTATAAGTTCAACATTCCAGTCCCCGACATCTCCGGTATCGTCCTCTTCTATCCCCTTCTGGATTGGACCATGACGAGGCCCCAGAAGCGGAAGACGTGTGGAAGGCCTGACATGACTCTGCCTCAAAGCATGACCGATCTTTTTGATGCATCCTATGTATATCCGCCCCGGCCCAGGTCTGAACGCGGTGATCCCCGCCTCTCACCCGGTCTCATGACAGATGAGATGATCGATCAGCTGCCGCCTGTTCACCTATGCTTGTGCGAGTTCGACATGTTGCTACTGGAAGGCCAGAGCTTTGCTGAACGGGCCAGGTCTCGAGGTCGTCGGGTTAGCACACGTGTTGTCAAGGCCGAAAAGCATGCTTGGGATAAGCCTCCTCCGTTCACTCCCAAAGAATCGGTCATGGTCGAGTACAATGAGGCCATCACGGCTCTTAAGGAATGGTCAGAGAACCCTCATCCAAAGCTTGGATGAGTGCCACAGGCCCCAGTCACGAGCCTCCCGGTGCGGGTGGTCAGGGCACCATCAGCGACTGCTCATTAACATCGTAAAAGAGGCTTCGGTCCAGAATTCTGTATCAATAAGTTTTTTAAGTTTTTTTTCAGGGCCCAATCCACATGCAATCGCTGAAACTCCGAAGATGGTGGCTCCCCTTCCGCGTTGTGGGGTTTAAAGACCATCCAAGCAGGTTCCCTGCAGCAACATCGTCGACACCAAGCAACTGTGCGAGATGGAATTTCGAAAAGGGAGAAGCACCGATGGTTGCATATAAACAGGCACTGGCCGCACTGTGCCAAAGGGGATTTTCTACCCTTCTACATCATCATGATAAGCCACTCAATTCCAGACCCATCTTTTGGTCCCAGTTCTTCTGCTCCAGCTGTGAGCCTAGTTTCTGGAGTATCTACACTCTTTTTCACAGGTGACAGCCCGGGTTGGGCCCGACGGGTACGTTCTCCGCCTCAGGGCTGTCTGGGCTGAGAAAGACGCCGTGACACTGCAGCAGTGCGGCGCGGTGATCTCAGATAGCCTCAAAGTCAAACTCGCCGAGAAATTCCTAGGGGGGTATCGCTACAGGGATGCGACCAGAAACGGAATATAGTTTGTTTCGTTTCGCCTCGCGATAAACTTCCATATGACGATCTGCTACCGCGTACGGACGCTGTGATCTCCAAACCCCGACCACCGGGTCGATTCTACAACGTGCAGTCTCTCCTGGTTGTGTGCGTTCGCGGCTTGTCGACGGCCAGGTTAGGCTTCGATCTGTTAGGGGAAATGCTAAATGAAAGCAGCAGCGGCCTAGGGCCCCTTTCATAATCAATTCAGGAGCTACAGGATTCGCTACATGAAGCCTGGTTGATTACTATGTGGTGCTGCTGAAGTATACGAATAAATACAATGGATTCGAAGATAATATCGTGAGATATAAGAGAGCTTCATGCCCTTCCTCGGACCTCGGACATTATATCTCATTTCAGGTATATAACGTGGGGGCAGTTATATAATCGTTGCTCCGAACGCCCAACATCGTTGTGACTTACTTCATCATCTTCGCACTTGTGAAAGTGCCCTACCCCTCCTTCCCCCCTTTGCCTGTGATCCGATACTACTTTCACGACGCGAACAACATCTGCCACTTCGTATTCAGTGCCGCCACCCATCTCGACGCCGTACACTATCGACCACCCTGCCACCAGTCTTAAAATCACGACGCCAACCCTTCCCAGTAAGCCATGGTCCCCGCAGAAAACGCGGTCGGATCAGCCATCGAACTGTAAGGACTGGCACCTCGTGACGCCCGGAGAGTAATGCGAGTCCATTGTCAGCGATCACCACGGATGGGTAGGAATGGAGGACTGGCATCTATGAAATCATACTATGCTCGTAGTTGGTTACCAGAACCTAACTCGTGGCTTGTGCCATCATCCCAGTCTTCCTCGGAACCCCAGCGCTTCTTCCTAATGTTTGTCCCCAACGCCACGGTCCCGCCTATGGTAATCCCGGCATCCGTGGAGCTGCCGCCTGTCGACACAGACTTTGAGCCCAACCCGGTACAGGACCCGCTGCCTACAGACTACGTGGAGTACTACCAGATGTGGTCAATAAGATAGAGCCGTCCTCATTCCATATACAAGTTCCAGCCTACTAACACTTGTTCCCCCGAACAAAAACAGGCCGACACACGCCGCCAGGTCGTGCCAATGCACAAGAGCATCGCCGAATGTCAGTCCCTGGCTTGGTAGCTGTTTCTAAACAATAACTGCTATGGCCTCTGGCCTGGTTACTACTGCCGCCTGTGAGTCAGTAACGCCATCCCGAAGCCGCCGCCGGACTGCACGACTAGTATGCCGAGCGAGCCCTCAACGTCCACATCGTCTAGACCCGTAGCGACACCACTGCATCTGCCAATGTTGCGGGAGTCAGCATCTCTTCAAAGTGGGGAGCTTTACTCGCATAAATGAGTAATAATGAAGATATTATATATGAATCCTTGCTATTTATGCCAATGTGGCGGCCATTGGTATTATTGTCGGGCGCTTGCATTGACTATAGTATTCTCAAGATGGGTTCCATGATGTAAAATAATATTTATTACACGTATAAGACTGAAGCCCCAATGCGGCTACCTCGTCAGTTCGATTAAGCAACTCCTTCGAAAGGTTCTCCTACTCTGTGACAGGAGGTATAGCAGCTAGATTAATTTAGGCGGTTGGGTTAAGAGAGTGATGAGCTGCATCATTCCTGATCTTCGTCTTCGTTCACGTAGTCATCATCATCCTCATCATCATCCTCATCATCATCCTCATCATCATCCTCATCATCATCCTCATCATCATCCTCATCATCATCGTCGTCCTCGTCGTCATCATCATCGTCGTCCTCGTCGTCATCCTCATCGTCATCCTCGTCCTCGTCGTCGTCCCTTTTCTCTGCTTGAGAGGCAGTATGTTCGACTGCCATGTGTACCCGGCGGGCCACTTCCATGGCCTCGTCATCAGTCAGCTCCAACGGCGTTTCGAAGCCGTGTCCGTGGATCCAGGAGTCAATCAGATAAGTATCGGGAGCGTCAAAATGAGAGGAAAGTGCGAGTAACACGCTCGTCCGTACATATTTCCCTGGCGTCGGGAACGGCGGATGCGAGTGGTACTTTGCCCAGACCTCTCGCCATCCACTGCGATCGAGACGCCTCATGCGGACGAGCGCCATGACGAAACGGAAGTAGAGGAAGCGCGGGACTGGACGTTTGTCGTTGAGAAACGTCAATTCCTTTCCATCGAGAGCACCTGCATTATCCCCATTGCTCGTATGTGGTGAGTCCTTGATGTCGGGGCAAACGACATCGGTCCTCCATCTTCTGATGGGGGTTTCCGCCGCGTCGACCGGAACGATCACAATGTAATAGCGGTCGTGCCAACTCTTGATCTGGTCAGCCAGCAGAAGTGCGTTCCCCGCTCGTTCAACCGACTCCGCTCGGTCGCCAAACAGCATTGCGGGTATACAGTCGGTATTGGTAAAGAAGGGTACGATATGTGCCGCTTCGACATCCTTGTCGAGATACCACATGCCGCTCGCATGACACCAGACTCGGCCATTTCCGTCACTGCCGCTATAATAGTCCGCGGCGTCCTTGAGAAAGGCAAAGGGTCGTCTTTGTGGCCTTCCCCGGCCATCTGATCTTGTGTAAAGAGGTAAAATGCTTTCCACCACAGCATGAGAACATGCGATGAGGTTGACATCACGCGGGATGGAAGTAGAAGGGCGTTGAATGAGAGCGCAGTAACCTGACCACAGCACTCGGTCTGTTTCGGAATCTTCGTAGTGTGCCTTCTTCGTCTTGTGTCTCCATAGGTCGCCCCCGGCAGAGAAGTAGCACTTGTCCTGTCTTCGGATATATCTCATGGCCATCTCGGGGGTCAGGTTCCCTTTATGCATCAAATGGATCGCCAGCCTTTGCCCCGTCCGGATCACTCGTTTTTCTTGTGAAGCCAGATCGATACCAAGCTTTGCCAGCTGAAGCTTCGCCTTTGGAGCTGCCTCCGGTTGCTCTTCATCTGGCTCAACGCGTGGCTCTACTTCGTGTTCCAGGGCCTCGTATTCCTTCCGCAGCTGTCGCAATCTTTTGAACGCAGCCTCCATATCAGCCAGCCGTGCCAGGGCAGCCGTGTTGGGTGAACTGCCCTCTGATGAGCCTGGATCCATTGGTAGTTATTATAATTGAGAGGCGGATAGCTTGGGGAATTGTAGTGGGAAAAGGCGTTATGTTAAACGGCTTTTCTACTAATTTGTTTGAGGGATTGTCTGGTGTAATCTCTGGTGATTTATCTGACGGTTCATCCGAATGCGTGCCTGATGGTTTGTCTGATAATTTGTCCAATGATTCATACGAGGGGTGTTCTGCTTTTTGTCTTTATTTCCGTATTCGATACAAAAACTTTGATGGATGATGGCTTGTCGTATCTTTTAGCGAACCAGGGTGAATACTGAGTTACGCAATAATAGTTTCTGTAATATCTGGGTTGGCTTCAAAGTTTGATTCAGAACGATACCTGCCTTTAGTTAACCAGCTCTCGCTGGATAACCGTTTGCCAGGTTGGACACCAGACAAGGGGAACTGGACATCCGGGTCCCAGACCAGCGGTTTCTCCTTTTTCATTCTAGAGGTGGACTTCGATACGAACAAGTGAGTCCGAGCCGGGCCCATGTCAAAACAATACCCATTGCTCCCTTCCAGGAAAGGTTGAGCAGCACCATGCCACGCGTTGAAACGCCCGACTAGTGTGAACGGGGCCGCCGACATTCTCATGTTTGCAGTACTGGACGTTTAGTCATCCCCCAAAGTCTGTGAAATTGCTACGAGATCAACGTTACGTACCTTTTCTTCCCCTCTTGCGACGTTGAAGCGTCCGCGTCTGCACAAGGGTTGTGCCAGAAACATCAGCCACTCGGCCAACCCCCTGGACGTCCACGATGCTTAGTCCTAGAGCGACAGACACGCATCTTAAAGCCGGCAGCGCTTGTGGTACAACTCCCGTTAGTTTTCCGGCCCAAACGGCATGTATCAGGGGTGCGCTCATCCGTAGGCGGGATATCTCGGGTTGACCGTACGACAGCGTCAAGAAGTCGAGAGGAGAGCACGTCTTTGGTGAGACCGTGTATCGGGTTATTGTACTAGATGGAGCCCTCAAGTGACAGCAAAGAACAAGAGAGGTTTCGCTCCGCAGATGGTCTAGGCTTATGTTGGATCTTGCTGAAGCTGGCGGCAGCCGCCTCGGAAGTGCTATGGAAGCCTTGCGTTAATAAGCATGCCAGAAAATCTACGTAGATCAGCGAAAATGCCAGAGAGTTACGGACAGTGTGGCCCTGACACACACCATCATTGAAGCAACCCTATAGCAAATGCTAGAATCATGAACAAGACATCAGCTACGTGGGAAGATGGCAATGATGTTTTCTGCAACAGGGAGGTATAACAAGTGGAAGACGCGACGGCAAAGTACTAGGTCCAAGACCGCTGCCAATACCAACAGGGTTGTCAAGGCCCCAAGCAGCTGGGAAAAAATTTGGAGAAGAGGAACCAAGAGGGCTTCCACCGACACATTACCGGATGATGGAGTGAAGGTCCTCTGGGGTTTGTGCCACATAGGCCTGCGGGTTAAGTTGTGGAGTTAAGAGGAGAAAAGACAGGCACTGGGGCCGTCTTGTGTTTTCGGACGATGTTGCGTTGATCAAGTATTAGCACCCCGCGGCAGCACGGCTTCTCTTTCCTTGGTGGATACATATGCCGTCGTACTAATACCTATATAGCATCACCAATAATCTCGATCACGGCGTCCCATGGTCCACGCACCCCGCACCACCCCTATTCCTACACTTTTTTACCTTATGATGGGCGTTATAACGTCACATCAAAGTCAAGCTAAGTACCGTCACGCCAGTATGTGGTCTGATGTATATCTACAACAGGCCATTGAGGGCTGTATTACTTGCTGGTTCGTTGACAACCAGAAAACACATTCCCGTTGGGACGGACCTCATCATTTTGCTCTGAACAGCTATTGAACAATCTCTGAGCCACATGGAGGGAGCCAACGCACAGAGAGCGCAGCCGATTGTGGTTGTACCGAGCGATTATCCTTGCGTATAACCGGTGCCATAAGCATTTCGCCGCTTCACAGGTAGTTCTTGTACTTCTGCAGTTGGCATGAGGCTGACGTGAAATTGTACCGAGCTCGGCTTACAATAGCAATGGCGTCTAGTCGCAGCTTCGCTTTCCCTCCTTCTCCTGCCGTCAATGGTCTTGGTTTGTAGTCATGGCAAGCTGCTTCAAGCATCTCAGATTCGCCGCGGTTTCGGACTATCCTGGGTTGGTACTCGTGGGATCTATCACCTGCAGTCCGATCATTGTGTTTTTTACGATAGCTATGGCTATTCACACTCAGCAGACAACACCCGTCGTTTTACTCACGTGACGTACGTACTTATTCCAATCGACAAAGGCGGCGCCTTTTAACTGATGCCGCAGAGACACGCGCCATCCTGTCGGAGACTGTAAGGAAATTGACTATCATTGTTAACGACTTTCTCTCATCGATGAAGCCTTTTCTTCGCGTCTACCCCCGGAACAACTCGGCCCCACACCCTGAAGATGACGAGAGAGTTGGACTTCAATGACGGCACAGCTGCAATATTCCAGGATGATTCGGGCGAGATTATGTGCCCCCGACCATGCTAAATTTGACAGCTTGCATACCACATACATAGTAGCACTCAGCAAAATAATGCAACGTCGCGAGGCCAGTCGGTCGGCCCCCGCTGCAACGCGGGATCCGTCGGCTCCGTATACAGTGACACCTCGTCACGAAGATGCCTACTTGGAAGGTACAGCCGCGAGCTGGAGCCCGGCGAGAGGGTCCAAGCGGCGGGCCCGCCAACGATGCAGCGCTTCCTTCGATGCATCTAATGCTGCGTTGGTAGTGGTAGCGGGCGATGGATACCGCCATGGTACTGGGAGAGGCCGAGCGAAGTGTGACGCTGATGCAGTGAGATCAGAGGCCGCTCTCGCGACGGCAATGATCCCGGAACTTGGCTGCGGCTGTGAGTGTGTGCCGGGATCTCAACGTGCTGGTAGTTGCCAAGATTGCGAGGATTTGAACTACCGGCTAGAAGAGTCATTCACGCATGGCTTGGCGGATGAGCAGAAACCGTCTCGTGGCCGGCTTGGTCCCAAAGTTGGGATGGTTCTTGCATTGAAGTCGCCGCGACGTGCGAAGGGCAGAGAGGGCAACGACAGCACGCGACGTCGTTTCGAGGGGTCACAGAAGCAGGGTCGAGCTGCCCAGACTGTCTGGAGAAGCGAAAGCTCGCTTCGCCGCGTGCGATGCAGAATCGTGATCTTGAAGCGACGATTGCCAGGGCTGGTGATCTGCCGATCGACTGGCCCGGTTCGTCCCCAAGGGGTTGCCAAAGCTGGGAGCCCGAAACGTAGTTCCCTGTCCTTCTACACCATGGTGCCGAAGGCTACAGGGACTGTACACCAACTGAAGAAGCGCCGTCGTCGACATACAGACACGTGGGGGCATGTAACCCAGGATGAGCATAGCGAATTCACTACCTGGGCTCTGACCTGCAGTTAATGCGCCAAGATGGAGGCCCTCTCTTTGGTTCGCATTGCCGGATTGTCCAGTGGACTGGTCGAAGAACATTGAAAGATTCCAAGGACCGATCGTCACGGTGGCCTGTGGAGCGTCAACGGGTTGCGCCTTGACACATTGGAGCGAGATTGTTTAGGCTAAGGAACGTTGTCAATGAGACGGCATGGAAGATGTGTCGGTGTGTTTAAGGTTTCTGCCAATTCGGCGTGGAGAAGATTCAGCACGGAGGGGCGCCGGTGTTGGAGATTGAGTCGTTCGGCGGGCGAGCTTGGATCGAAGTGGGAATAGGGGCCGAGCCCGCGCTTTCCCCCTGTGACCGGACTGTTGGTCAGTGATAGGGAAGAGGTTGAGTTGAGTTGGGACCACCATCTCGCGAGCAAATTTCAGGCGGGGCCGTCGAAGTGCGACTGGAACTGGGTTGACTAGTACTAATACTGGTGTCGCAGCTAGAAGGCCAGCCACTATCCGGTGAGACGATCGGCGATAGCCTGGGTCCCGACCATCGAGCGTTAGAGCGTGTCACTAATCCAACGATGCACGATGGAAGGCTCCTGGTTAAGAATGTCGGCACTTGGGGGGGCGGAGGGGTATCCGGATGATTTCTGTTGAAAGACAGAAGATGGGTTCGTTGTCGCCCTGGGACGCGCGTGAGCCGGCAAGGCCCAGTGAGTTCGGCAATTCCCATGAGGCGAATTCTTAGCTTGGAGGCCCTGGCTTCGTTCCTTGGATGTGCCCGACATGAAAATCGCTTCCTTGAAGGAGAAGGCCGCAGAGCGCCGTTGTCACACATGTTTGTAAACCAATATTGGCAAGGCCCGGACACACAGACGGTGCTGCCCCATGGCACTCGATGCGCCAGGGTTGTAGGCCGGCGGTTGGCTGTCGATACGGAACGGCGGACCTGCAGGCACTGGAACAGCGGAAGAAGGGCCGGAGGGGAGCAGTGGAGGTTGTTTGGTATTACGTAGTAGTGGCGAGCGGCCGTGGACGGCGAGAGGGTGTAGAATGTCGAGGGCCGGGCGAATGAATGAGCGATTCAGTGGCAGCCAGGGATGGGTGCCTACGTGCATGCATGTGCTTCCATGTGGGCGGGTGCATACAGGAGAGCGAGCGCGCGCAAGCGAACCATGATAGAAAACAGGCACAGAAGAAGCAGAGAGGCATAGAAACACATTGAGCATTGAGCATTGAGCAAGGCGCATGCATCGACGGGAAGAGAAGCAGAGTTCAGACCGGCGACATCAACGGCTCGGGATAAGACGGCGTTATGACGGGATATGCCTTGCGGCATTGGACCAGCCAGGAGGCCGCGGCCGAGCCGTTAAGACTTTATCTTGGTTGCTCGAGGTTGGGATTGCCGTCGAACTCGCGGGGATAGGGATAGGCGAGGGGCAGCATCGAATAGGACGGATGGGCAGAAGGACCAATAACCGCCAAGCAGCCCAAGGCGGCTAATGCTCCTTTTGACAGACGAATACCGACAAACACGCTGGCATCGTGGCATCACCCTCTTGGCCCCCTGCGCAGCCGGTGACATGCACGCTGGATGGCCTCGATGGAGACCCGGTCAGAGTTCTGGGGGACCCTTGAAGGCGACTTCTGCTTCGGGATAAGGGCTGCGGTGAGAGAGGGCTGCATTGTGCATTACCCCTGCAGCTCTGTCCGCTCTTGATCCCTGTCCTCCCCGTTCTTTTCATGAGCGCTTGCAAAGAGGGTGGGTCTACGGTAGTGGGCAAGAAACAGAGGAAAGGGATGACCGAAAGAAAAAGGAGATAATCGAGTCCAAGATGGATGGCAACGGTTGGCGTCGTCGGTATCTGGCGCCTCTCGAAAGGCCACCCGTCCGTCTCTCTTCCCATTTTCCCCTGCTCTTGGGTACGGCACTACTCGGTACTGCGTGGTAGCTGGTATTTAGCGGGTGGAGGAGGAGGTACAACAAGTTGTCCAGTTTTATCACCGGATCAGCCGTGATTGGCGTCGGGCGTACCAACAACGGTCCGCCAATGAGTCGGCTCGTTTGATTGGTGGTGGTGGTAATGGTGGACAGACCTTATTGGCGATAGACTATGAAATGAAGATGCTGATGCTTATTCTGGCCGAGACACCGCAGAAACGGCAAAAGTGCGGCGAATATCTGTACGTTGGTAGAAGTGAAACAAGGTCAGAAGGAGCAGAAAGGAAAGGGACAAAAAAGGAAGGAAAAAAAAAAAAAAAGGAAAAAGGAAATGCTATGGCAGGTAAGAGCAGAAGATTCGACAGACAGGGAGGCAGGCACGGAAAAAGGGGGAGAGGGGGACCCTGCAGACACGGTGGATACCTGTGTCCTCTTTGGGAGGACGAGGAGGGGCGCTCCACTTGGGCAAGTGCATAAGGAGGCAGGCAGGTGCTCCAAACTGTCCAGCATTCTGCAGTCTATGTGGTTATTTTCAGTATTCCGTACCTGCCAACTCGTATTGTGGTAGTACAGCTGGCGGCCGCATACTTGGTACCAAGGAAGGAAGGAAGCCAGCAAGCAAGCAAGTAGGAAGAGATGACAAAGTTGCAAGGTTTCGAGACTAGACTACTTGTCCCGCCGAGGTCCGAGGGAGGAAGGAAAAGAAGGAACCATGGAATCCGATACGGTGGGACGAACACGTACTATAGGCACCGGCAAGAAAGCCTCAATAATGCCTTCGTTCTTTCCCTCGTGCTCAGACACCTCCGGCTGCTTGCTGGCTTCCGTTGCCGGTACGTACTGCTGGCAGGCTGGCAGACAGGAGGAGGAGAGAGGAGAGCAGAAGGAAGGCGAAGATGCCAGATGCGGAAATTGAGGAGAACCGTTCCATTCCATTCATGCGTCGTGTCTCTCTACCTGCAAGCTGGTGGCCGACGATGGGTACTTTGAGATTCCATCGATTTTTTCTTTTTTTCTTCGAGCGATCAATCAATCAATAATTCATTGGCAATCCGTCCGATCAAGCCGGATCGTATTCCTTGTTGACGTGCCCCATACACGGCAGATACTCGGTACTCTGACAGCGCATACCGACTGTACGAATGGATACCTGGATATAGCGTTGCCATGTGTAAAAAAGTACAGGTATTCGTAGGTACTACGTTCCTCGTGACCTCGCCGATATTATCGTCCGTGCTTTGCCGTGTGGCGGCTTGCTTATATTCCCTTGCATATTGTTATTGTTGCCATCATCGTCTCGTCTGGTGTTTCTCTTCTCTTGGGCCGAACAGAACAGGGACAGGCGCTGGACACGTAGCGTGCCCCACACCCTGCGCTTCGTATACTGCCAGAGTTCAATCCGACCCGAGATGATGAGCCGTCTGGCTGTGATGAATCTCTCTGCCTGTGTCTCACGGTGTGCAGCATCTCGTTGTGTTACACGCGGCTGCCATTAGCGCCGTTACTGGTCTTGCAGTCTACGTTCCTACCTAGGTAGCGTCTTGTCTTGGTAAGGAGTTCTGCGGACGTTGAAACAGCACACAACGTACAGATAGATAATGGCTTGGAATCGTCGCCGTCCGTCCCTTCGTCCTCAACCACTTCCCAATTAGCTAGTATGGTATGACGTGATGTGTCATGCCATGATACTCGAAGACAAAGATACAGACATGCTGCATTTGTTTTCGGCTCCTTCAGGTAGTTGGACCGCCTTGGTATTTATTTGCATGCTCGGTATGTGACGTGGCGGCGGTGGACTTACGACTCTATTGTCAGGGTAGTCCCCGATATCCATTCTCCCACTTCCTCTACGTACATCGGATGTACGGACGCTACACAACTGCCATAGTACCGGTAGGTGGAACATAAGGACACACCACATCACGCACCCCCTGTCCAGTTCCTTCCTGTTCCTGTACCTGTCCCCATCCATCTTGGTCTTGCCCCATCATACCTGTAGTCCAACGTGCCCTGACCTTACCTCTCGCTACCCGTCCTGGACCCGGTTCTCGCTTTTCCATCCCGCCTTTTTTCCTTCTTTTCCTTTCTGTCGAGTCCTTCACTTGTGCTCTTCTCTCCACGTTTTTGAACGTTGCTGTGCTCGCCCATGAACGCAATGTCGATACTTCTTCTTCTCTGACTACTCGTGCTTCAGCAGCTAACGCCCCCCGGCACGTAGCGCCAGCTCCCGAACAAACCACCCCAGTGCTTGCATGCCTCTCCAAGCATCACCCAGTATTATCCAGCATCCCCCGGTACCCATATCTTCTTCCTAGTGTAGGAACACCGCCGAGTGAGTGCTCATCGGTCTTGTAATACGTACGCTATTGCTTCTTTCCGCCCCGATTTGGGCGACATCCACCAATACAAATCACCACCACCCGCTGCCAACGCTACCGCCAACATAGGCATACCTAGGCCCCCCCGTTTCTCATCGCCCCGAAAACCACACCCTCGTTCGGCAGTCGATCACACCCATCTTATCACTGCATCCCGTCCGAGCCTAGCAAATTCCAGGTCAGGGGAAGAGAAGATTGACGGTAACTAACATCCATCGCCTCATTTGGACCATAGTACATACTAGTTATCCACCGTTACCTGAGCCGACTAGTCGCCTACCTGTTTACGAGCACTAATACATAACAAACCTTTCGCCCATCGTGGCACCGTCTTGGTCTGTGGCTGCCCTGTCCTGCCCATTTGCGCCCAGGCCAAAGGGGGGAAACGGCGAGTCTAGAAAAAGCAAGCTGAGCAGAAAGAAAATTGTCGACCGCGTCCACTGCAACGTCGCCCCCCTACAAACCAGCCAAAAGGAGAATCATCCAAGCCTTTCATTCCCGCCACAGATTACTCGTTCGGAACTCGTTCGACCGGGAGACAAAGACGACCCCGACCATAGAACCCGGCTTTGTGGACATTGCGACGCCCGAGTAGCCGCTGTTTCGATTGACAGCGCGCCGCTCCCAGGATCCCCCTCCCTGCTCGGTTCCTGGATAGTCATTTGTGCTCCTTGAGACTCGCCTGCGGCTTACCCCCTTACGGTAGTCTTGTTGGATATTGCCTGCTTGCTTACCACTGGCCTGCATTGGACAGACTTGGGACCCCCATCCAGAAGCGTGTGGCCGCGTGGGATCAATCAAGCGGCACTTTATTTTGCCCAAACCTTACCTTCGACCCTGCCGATATACGCGCCCGCGCCTTGCGCCTCTACGCCTGTTGGACTGAGATCCGGAGATGACTTGAAAATCTTTCTCGACCCCCACGATACCTAGCCGCCCCCCTCCTTCGTCATGTACGTCGAAACACCGCGACGCTCTAGTCGCCGCCGTCCCGATCTCAACATCGACACCTCTCCAACCGCCTACTCGACCAGGCCTGTTACCGCTGTCGCCTCACGAGACCCTGCTACCGCTGCCGCTCCCTCCGTTCCGCAGACGCCTCCGCCAAGGAGCAAGAAGAGGCCGCCGCCGCCGCCGCCTTCTTCTTCCTCGTCTGTCTCCAAGAGCAAGCCCAGTTCCCGGTTACTGAAAGGACCGGCCCTCTCCCGTCATGCCGACGACTCGTTTCTAGACAACCCCGACTCACCCGATAGCTTCGACATGTCCGCCAACAAGGAGAACAATAACCCCGATCTTGCTCGTTTGCGCGACTCCCACGACTTGTCCCTGTCCCCGCGAAACGTTACACGCGACTCCCTCATGGCCAACATGCTCATCTCCCTCGATCAATTTAACATGGGCAGTCCAGTCTTCGGCTCGCTTGGGGCCGGAGCGCCGGGCATGCTTGATGAGCCGTCACAACAATACCAGTACGATACCGACGGAGACGGCTTCGCGACGTCGGTGCGAGGTGGGCGTGCCAATGGGCACTCGTACTCATACAGCTCCGATTTCGAAGCCGACGATGCGAGTAGGATATCCTCTCGTGGACGAAGAAGTAATAGCATCTCCAACTATCAACCCGCCCTGCATCGCATCAGCAGCATGCGCGAGCCGTTGCGAAGCACGTCAGGCCCACCGCGCCAGATGCACTCTCGAGGAGGCAAGGGGAGCACGAAAAGCAGCAGCTCGAATAGCATCGATGCCGGTTATGCCCAGGTCCTCAGTAGTACGAGGTGGGCATCGGGCTTTGGTGGTAGATCATCGAGTTTCGATTACGGCCATCGCCCTCCCGCACTGCAGGCCACACAACAACAACATCAGCTGCTGCAGCCTCAACAAGCCGGAGGTGCCCCGTGGCATATCGAATTTTCCAACAGTTTTTTCGCCGATGACGACTACGACGCTGCGCCGACGCCTACTGTGCCTGGCGGGCCCCGACGCACGATTTCGCTTTCGCCCGTGTCGCCTACGGGCGTCCCCCATTCCTTAGCGGCCACACCCGGATCCCTTGCGGTGGAGTCAGCCGAACCGCCACCCGTCGCGCTCGAACGCAAGCGATCAAACCTGTCCGCAATAAGTAGTTCAACGAACCACCGCAAGCCGGAAAACAAACCAAGCAACTCATCTTATGAAGAGACGCCGACTTTGCCAATCTCGGCCCCAGTGTCTGGGTCGTCCGCCATTTTATCCCCAGCACCATCTTCCATCCCCGCGCTTGAGATGGATTCCGCACCTGCACCACACGTGGGCTACGGCAAGACCAAAGAGGCCGTGCACGGAGTACAGATCCCGGCTCAGGCAGCATCGCAAACGAAAGAAAAACCGGGGTTTTTCAGGCGAGTCTTCGGCTCCTCCAAGAATAATACTTTTAGCAACACGCCCGATACGCAGAGCTCCACGGCCGTCACGTCGCCAACGTCTGTCGACGTCCCCGACCAAAGGTCAGGGAGCAAATCCATGCAAACCGCGAACCAGATGAAGCCCTCTGGTTCCGCCACTTCGAGGGATACCTCCTCATCCCATTCTCAGCATCACGTGCTGCAGAAGAAGCCGAGTTCCTTCTTCCGTCGCAGGAAGAAGTCTGTGTCCGCCGACGAGGTCCCTCCCATGCCAGCCGCCGCCACTCTCGAACCCCCAGTGCCCCCCTTGGTGCCCCCGATTCAGTTGGCTGCAGCCAAGGATAAACTTTCTGCGAAACCCGAACCCAGCCCAATTAGTAGCCTTCGCAGAGTCATGAACCCATACCTGAAGGGCAGCCCGGTGACGCCAAACACGCCTTCGACACCACAATCTGCCCCGCCTCTGCAAACTCTCAACTCTGAGATGGCCTCCGATCCCACTCCAGCTTCCCGCGACGACGCAATCGACGAGCAGCCGCGCTCCTTCTCGCCCGATTACGAGCCAAGTCCCAATGCACGTATACGAGAGGTCCGGACTGGATCTCGTGATGGTGATGACATGCCCTACGACTACGAACGGCGCACCGATACCCCGACCCGGCGGCCCCCAGAACCTCCCATGTCGGCAGAGAAGAGAAACAATTCCTTTCTCGACATCGATGGCAGCGACAACGAAGCTGACATTTTGTCAAAGCGGGGTAACAATACGCAAAAGGACACTGGATCCAGGTCTGCCAAGACGAACAAAGATGCGTCGCCGCCGCGGAGGAGTGCTTCAGATAGAAAGGATAGGACCCTGAGAGGCAGAAACAACGACAAATTGGCTGTCGCGCAGACAGACTCTGATGAAGAAGGCAACAGACCATCGCTAATTCTGCCGATTGAGGGTACCAGGTCTGCCAGCAGGGCATCGGGATCAACTGCGACCGACTACAAGTCTGCCAAGAGCAGTGCTCCTAGCCCGAGCGTCAGAATCGACCCCTCGGGGAACAGCAGCCCCAAGGCCCACGGCACGTTTGAGTCCATGGCCGCGAAGCCTCTGGATGAGCCCGACTTCGTTGTTGGAGACCCAACAGAGGACGACCGCCAAAAGGCCCAAAAAATCTTTGATGGTAACGAGGACTTCATCCAGAAGGAGAAGGCCGCCGCGTGGATGGGCGAGGAAGGCCCCATCCGTCAGAGAACCCTGCAGGCCTATATGGATCTTTACGACTTCACCAGCAAGAGCATCTTGCAGAGTCTTCGTTTGGTTTGCGAGCGTTTGGTCTTCAGGGCGGAGACGCAGCAGGTGGATCGCATTTTGGTTGCCTTTTCTAAGCGTTGGTGTGACTGCAACACCAACCACGGATTCAAGGCATCCGGTACGTTTTCTTGTCCACATGCCCGGATGAGGGAGCTCGAGCTAACACGGCATAGATGTTATCCACACAATCTGCTATTCAATCATGCTGCTCAACACTGACTTGCATCTGGCTGACATCGAACAAAAGATGACGCGGAGCCAGTTCGTCAAGAACACCATGACCACCATCACTCAGGCGGTGGCGGAGTCGGCTCCCGACGCGTTCGAACGGCCAACCATACTGCCAGGCAAGTCCAATAGCGCTCTTGGAGGCGACGATTCCAGAGCATCGGCAGAGGATCGTTCCACTTCGCGCCGCTTGTCGTTCCGACCCCCGCCGAGGCACGAGGTCGACGGGTCCGGAGACCACAGCCATGACGAATGCGGGCCCCTGGTGAAGGCGCCGTTCGACGGTTCGATGCGCGCCTGGGAGGCTCAAGTTGAAGTCGTCCTCAAGGACATCTACGCCTCGATCCGCGACGAGCGATTGCCACTTTTCGGCGCCGATCCGTCGAAGAACCTCGCGCCGAACTCGCATGGCAGCTTGTCTGTCATTGGCATGTTGAAGCGAACGCCCAGCGTTCTGAGTAAGGCCCCGTCTGAGAGTCAGGCATCTATGCGTGGGCGCATAGCTGAAAATGGCCGTGCCCATTCTTCCAGATGGAATTCGAAGAGCAGGTCACGACCTCGTATGGGCAATCCGGGATTCTCTTCATCGCGAACGAGCTTCGACGACGGAAACTCAGTTTGGAGCCCTACATTATCCTCGGCAACCTGGAGCAAGCTCTCGTTGGGCCGAACGCAGACATCGATGTCTGTCGATTCGCTCAGCTCGTCATTCCGCGGGGGCGACTATCAACAGTCCATCGGATTTGCCAACGCCCTTAGCCAGGCCGTCATCCGTGACGATGAATCAGCTGTCAGTAAGGAGCCATCCATTGTGAGCGACGAACTGAAGCCTACCCATCTGCTCGAGGATGAATCGCTGGAGCTCGCCGGCCCCCCTTGGGTCAAGGAGGGTATGGTGATCCACAAGCACCACCTCGACGGCATAGACAAGAAGGCCAAGGACCGTCATTGGAACGAGGTGTTCGCTGTCATCCAGCGGGGCCAAATGAGTATATTCTCCTTTGCCACTAACAAGTCGGTGGGACGCAAGAGCCGTGGTCGCCACGCGAGCAAGGGTCCAGCCATCGTAGGAGGTGGCAATTGGCAGGAAAACGCCACTAACCTAGGCACCTTCAGTCTCCGGCAGACTCTGGCGTCTACGCTGCCCCCGCCGGGCTACTCGAGAACTCGGCCCCATGTCTGGGCTCTTAGTCTGCCCACGGGTGCCGTGCACCTGTTCCAGGTCGGAACCCCGGAAATTGGCAAGGAGTTTGTGACCACGGCCAACTACTGGAGCGCGCGCCTGAGCACGCACCCGCTGGTCGGCGGTATCAGCAATATCGAGTACGGATGGAGCGATGCCATCATCAATAACGCTCTCGTCGCGGCCATCAACGAACAGACCACGGGCCCGACGACAGGACGTCAGCGGTCGAACTCAAGACCCCAAAGCGGCACCGTCAACTCTCGACCTAGTATGTCGAGCTTCCGCTCTGGCTCTCTCGACCAAGGACCCGGAGGGCCCTACAGTTCCGGCGGCCGTGGCCATAAGCTACCTGGCGACCGAATTCACGTTGCCGAGTGGGCGCCTCCGACACAGAGCATGCGGCCCAGTAACTTGCCGGAAGAGGAGCAGCTCGAAGGTCTCCTTGCGTACGTCAAGGGCATCGAAGGCGAGCTGCAAGCACACAATCAGCTTCGCAGCCCGATGTTGCTTGCCTTTACGCCCCGTGGCAGCAACGCCGTTCGCGCCATGGCGAACTGGGAGCGGAAGAGCGCTTACCTTCTGCGGGAGATTGTCAAGTTCCGCACCTACGTCGACTGCCTACAGCAGGCGGAAACACGTAGGAACGAGATCTACATGGAGAGAAACCTGGCCCGACGAGCGGCCAGAGGAGAACTGGATGAAGGCGAGATCGAGTTTGATGTTGGACGAGACGCGACGATCAGGGCCTAATGCGTACATTAGCGCTACGGTACGAGCGAGTCTCTCGATCGGAAAACATTACGGGTGGATTGTACGCGCACAAGCCAAGCCCACGACGACATGACCACCATCTTGAACTCTGGGAGTTTGGGTGGGCATTTTTTTTCTTTTTTTTCTTTTTGGGAAGGGGGGGGGGGGCGGTGGTGGTGTTGGTTTGGTAAACCATTTTTGCTATTCATTTGACTTCTCCTCATTTGTACAAACATAAGTTCGATACCCAACCCTTTTGTCATTAACGCCCTCGGCCTTATGTCCTCACTCTGCCTCCCTCCCCCCCTCCCCCCAAGGCACTTGGGAAGCACAGGCGTTGGTGGGCTTTCCGGCATTTTTTGGGGTCTGTGGAAGAAGCATAGCATGCATTGGATGTTTGGTTTTTTTTTGTTTTTTTTTTTGGGGCGGTTCTAGGCGGTAGCGCAGTCGAGATAATAGAGTGAGGGGGGGCATGGGAGTGGGATTCTCGCAACGTAGGGAGGGTTCATTAATGGGTTGTGAAAAGTAATACGATCACGAGCAAAACAAAACAAGACCCAGAAACAAAGCAATATACTTGGTTTCCAAACATGATTTGAACCTCGAGTTTAGCCACTCGATGACGCTTTCCCCCCCTTTTGAGTGCGTTTCTATGCCCGTCTCTTGTCATTATTGTCGTCCATTGTGTTCAATGACTCTGGTATGCTTCATGCTCCAGATAGAGCCTTTCCTCACGGCCAGCCGTCACACATACAGACAAGGCTAGTGTTGGCAATGCGGTAAAAGCGGTATTATTAGTGTGTAGCATTACAGACATTCCTCTGGCCTTGACGGCCTTGACGCCTTTTTCCCAGTCCGTTATACATATCTACATACAAACACACAAGCCCGTCGTCTAAAAGGTATGCACAGATCGGGGGGGGAGGGGGAAGCAAGCAACACCGGTCAACCATGCGAAGCTACCCGATTACAGCAGTATGTTGGCGAAGAAAACCGCAAGGCAAGCGACCAGGAAGCTGTTCTGCATGGTTCGGGAAGCACTGGATGCGGGGATGCGGGTCGGAGTAGGTGTCGCAGGGGCGACGGGAAACGTCGTCTGGACGTAGGCAGGTCCAGTGGGCGAGTTGGAGGCCTGTCTCGTCAGGGTGAACGAGGTGCCGTTAGCACGGGTAATAGCGGTGGCAGCGACGGTGGCGGACGATATAGGGCCGTTGGTGGTGGACGTCTGGACGCCAGTGCTGTTGAGAGAGACCACGGGACCGTCGGACTGAGCGGCCTTACCCTTATCATCAGGCTTGTTGTCCATCCCACCGTTGTTGTAAGCGACACCGCCGGGGAAGGGCTTGTCGCCGGCGCCGGCACCAACGACCTTGATGCTCTGCCACTTGCCGTCGGAACCCTTGGAATACTCGTACAGCTCAGCGCCGGACTTGTCGCCACCGGCGTAGTCCCAGACCTTCAGGGAGCGGTAGTAGCCAGCGAAGGGACCATTTTCCCACTCGGCGAGACCACCAGCCCAGTCGATGGTACCCTGGGCAGTGCCCTTGCCTCCGACCCAAGTGCCGAGCTTCACCTGCATAGGCGTCTGCGGGTAGTTGCCCTCCTCCGGTGTGGCGGTGCGGTAGACCTCGCCGTCGATGGAGAAGATGATGGACTCGTTGGTCCACTCGATGGTGTAGGTGTGGAAAGAGGTCATGGGGTTGAAGGAGACCGGGTGGACACGTCCATGCGTGTAGTCGTTGACGCCGAGGGCGTAGAAGTTGGTCTGGACGTGGGTCTGGTCGGAGCCGATAAACTCCCAGTCGATCTCGTCAAGGCAATCTGACTGGAAGACGATGCTAGTGACGATGCCGCGGCCAGGGGCGGCCTGGAGCTCGACCTCGACCTTGCCGAAGAAGAGGTAGTTCTTGGAGGTAAGGGTGGGGGCGTTGTTCTCCTCGAAGATGGTCATCTCGGCGCCCGTGTCGGCGGAAAAGGACATGAGCTTGGGGTTGAACTTGACGCCGCCATCGACGGTGAAGAAGGACTCGAGGTCGTCGATGTTCTTGGAGGTCCGGAAGTCAAAGTCGGTCTGATTGCCAAAGGCGGGATCCGGGGGGCAAGCTGAGGACAACACGTCAGCATTGTGGTAGCATTAGGTGAGGTGATCGAGGCCGCCTTAAGCGGGTGTAAGTGGAGGTTTGGGGGAAGGGGGGCACTCACTGTCGCCTTTAACGGGGTTACACACCGAAAAGGTCTGGGCGAATGCTAGACCAGCAGCGGCCAGAGCCAAGGTAGCGTATCTCATCATTGTTGGTTGATTGTGATGAGGGCAGTGGTTGTGTGCGGTATGCGGGCGTGTCCGATGGGACGGGTGTGAACGAGTGGTGTTGGCTTGCTGAAGAACAGAGGGAGGGGCAAAAGGAGCGGTAGTCGGGGTATATAGATGGAAATCCAAGGCGAGCCGCCGCAGGGAAGCAATGCAGGATCACAGGTGTCACTTCCGGGAAAGAGAATGAGCCAAATATAGATATCTGGGAAGGCTAGCGGCGACGAAAGAAAGGATCTAACGTAGCACGGGGGAAGGCGAAGGAACTAAGGAAGGTGAAAGTGGTAACCAAAGACTGACCGGGCTGGACTTGTGGAAACCAAGAAACGAGAGGCTGGAGAGTTTAGGAACAAGGTGAGTGAGTCGACGGTAAAGAAGGCGAAGACGACCCTTTTTTACCGAAGGCAGCGGACGACGGCGGGCGAGACATGAGATGAAAGCAGGCGGCAAACGGCTCTGGGGGCCAGTTGGGCCGGTAATTGGATGTCAGTAAGGCATCTTGGACTCGACCAGCCATCCCAAGAAATCCCCTAGACTCTCAGACAGCCGTGGACCATTTGTCTCTTCTTCTGTTCCAAGTACCCAAGGTAAAGCAAGTACCCCAGTAGGTACCTACCTAGGTAGTTACCTAATTTAGTAAGATGACACGGGCAGACGGTCTCGTCTCGTCTGATTCCTTCCTGCTGCAGCTCGTTCTTGCCTCTTCCCCCAGGTACCTATGTAGTAGTCAGTCTCCAACCACACCAAGGTACCAATCACTATCGAATTCGCGCTTGCCAAGTCGACCAAGGCTGGGTTGGGAAGCGTAGGGCAGGGCAAGCGAGAGAAAGGGAGGAGCCGGGGACCTACCTTATACTGACGCGGGGTCCCAAGGAGGTATATTTTCCCTACAAGCACTGCGCAAAGGTACATAGGTCCGACTAGTTACTGCCGCCGCAAGCAGGAGATTATCTCAGCCGCAGACGCGCCTTCCTTCCTTCCTTCTTGAACCGGTACGTACCCCACACATCTTTGTTTCTGCCGCACTGCATGCCTGCAATTGAACGCTTCTGCATCCACGAGAAAATCCAGCTCCTGATCCACTCAAGTCCAGCTTGACGCCGGTTCCGTCTTACACCGTCTTCGTCGTGGTGTTCCAGTCCCCGTTCGGTTCGCAGGAGCAACTACTACTACTACGTAGCTTCAACTCAAACCCAGTCCAGCTCAACACCGTTTCCCAGCCTTTACATTCCAACCGAAGCCTTACGTCCCCTGTTGCCGTTCCATTGACAGCCTTCGACAACGCCGACGTTGCCTCCCTTCCAGCCCTCGGTAGGACTTCGTCCCTATCCATCCAGCATTGTCTCACGCTTAAACAACATGAAGACATTCCGACCCCTCACGTCTTCCCCTCCACCCATCGCAGTCTCGGCATGCTCGGACGCAATTTCGAACTGACCAACCGCTGTCGCAAGCGGCGCTGTTGGATCCCTCGTCATCTCGGGTGGACTCTTTCGCACAAGCCATGTTGTCCAATCCTGAACCTCGAGGGAAGACGACCGATCGGGTTGTGGCCAGATGCCAAGACCGCTGGTCGTCTCTTGTGTTGTGCGAACAGGCAGGTCAGGGACGAGCCCGGTCGAGCTGCATCCGAAATTGCTCTGTGCATGTCCAAGTGGTAGGTGAACCACCATATTGACTACATCGCCATCACGTCCGTAACGAAGGATCATTTGCCCTTTCCGAGCGACTCCTGCGTTTGGCTCGGGTTTTGGTTTTTTTTTTGCATTTCTTTATTTTTGCAAATATTTAGCGGCTAACTGTAACCGACTAGCAATCCATAGTCTGCATCTCTGTCTCTCTTCGCACGGCCTCCGCCGCACAAACCTGCAACAATGCACTTGCTCCCATCGCCCCTTGCATCGATCCGTCGTAAGCCTCGTAGCGGCGCTGGGCGAGCCCGTTCAGCAACCATCCCTCTGCGCGTCCTCGGCACTTTCGTATTCGACGTTCCATGGTCTCAAGCCAAATTGGTTCTCATCAATAAGGGGGGCAAAAGGTGAACAGAACGGTATAAACAAAAAGAACCGCCCAACCGTGGCTTGCTCGCTGATGATGATCAACCGGCACGCAAACCACTACGGCAAATTTAGAAAAAAAGAAAAAAAGAAAAAAAGAAAAAAAGAAGAAAAGAAGAAAAGAAAGGAAAAAAAAACCCTTCCTCGCTTGTATCGAAATGCCAAAACAGTCGCACCGCTTAGCAGGTGTTGAGCATCGAAGTGAGGGCCGTCTTCTCGGCAGATGTGACAGTGAGGGCCCAGTAACTCTTGACCTGCACCCAACTTCGGGCATAGACGCAGTAGAAGCTTGCCAGAGGAGGCTTCCAAGAGTCGGGGCTCTTGTCGCTCTTGGCCTGGTTGACACTGTCTGTGACGGCCCACAACTGGGGACGTGTGAGGTCGTTGGCGAACTGCTGGCGCTTGGCAGTCGTCCACGATGCGGCACCGGACTGTCGTCCCATGTTAGCATTTCTACCTTGCTACTTATCATCACATCCAAGTGCACAGAATGCAACCGTGTGCACGACTCTCGACTGAACTTGTGCCAGGGAGACTCACGACCCAGGCGTTCTTCAGAGGTACCATGTGGTCAATGTCGACATCGCTTGCCGCGGTCCAGGTCGCACCATCGTAAGGGCTCGACCAGGTGCCGCTAGTGGCGGAGCAGGCAGAATTGACCACAACATTGGTGCCATCTCGCTGAAGCACCGTCTCACGCGTGTTGCAGCTACCAGAGACGGTCGACCAGTGGGGGAACAGGTCACGGTCGTACGTGTCCGTGTTGGTCCACGCACTCACTGTCAAAGCAGCAAGCTGCGTCTTGGCCGTGGAAGCGGAAGGGATGCCGGGCTGGAAGCGAAATTTGAATTAGCTTGCGAGCTCCGTTTGCGGTGGGCCCGAGCATTCAACGGGGGAGGCGTCTTTCGGCACTTACGGGAGTGGGCATCGGCATCGGCTCGGCGACCGGATTAGGGACGGGGGCGGCGAGGCCCGCGCCGGCGAGCATGAACAGAGCGGCGGCAACCTTCATGATGACGATTGGCGGATACTGGCGACCGAAGCGACCGAGCAACGACGAAGATGAGGGTTGGAAGCTATAGTGAACGAGCGGCTTGGCACCGACGGTAAAGAAGGATCTGGATCTCCCAGAACGGGAGATCCGCGATGGTTTATATGTTTTGTTTGCCTCCTTCCTGCTTATCTCGACGGTTGCACTGACGTCTCCATGATCGGCGGGCCACGATAGTCCCAAGCGCAGGTTTCCTTCTGTTCAACGTGCCCCCAAAACTCCACAATCATGTCGTCCGTGTCGCCGTCGAACCAGTCACCGCCCTTCCCCACCCCACGACTCGTCTACCTGCCGTCTTAATCTCCAGCTCGACCTCCCAGGAGCCCGCCCTCGATGCAGCATTGGAGGCAATGAAACGCCGCGCTCCTCTAAAAGAGGCGCTAGGTCGGCTCGCAGTGCAACTCAAAGCAGACGTCTCCTATGACTTAGCAGGGGGGGGGCCACAGGGTTCAGCCGGCGAGCTGACAGCAGTGTATGGCCTTTATCTCTGCTCCCATTGGCGGGGCATCATCCATCTCCAGTGTCGATGCACCCCTTCCACGCTGCCAACCTTGAGCCAATCCTAAAGCCAACCACTCATATCAGCCGGCTTCCGCACGTTATCTTATCGGTCCCTGTCAATCACCTGCGAAGGAGCGATATGCTTTGGGCTGTGACTCCTCCTCCTGTCCTCTCCGCTGCACGTTGACCCCTTCCCTCCATGCCCCCCACCCCCCGGCTTCTTCGACTCCGGCGCACGCGGCTTTCCACGAACCTTCCTGTTCGGGGACCGGCTGCCTCCTCTGTGTGGTCGAGAGAGCAGCCTATCTTACGCGACGGCCAAGAAAGCAACCTCTCAGGACCCAGAGACGAGCATCTCGGGCTGCGGCCTGGCAGTACCAAGACGCGTGAAGCCCTATGTCTCACGCCAGACAAATAGAGGCAGGTGCAGGTGGGCGGGAGGATAGATCCGCGTCACCGCCGGGCCACGCGCAGAACCCGGGGGAGACCATCTCGAAAGCTGGTTGGATTGCTTTTACGACAGGCCAAGCAAGCGCTGATGGATATCGCCATCCACAAGCGGTGTAGGCCACCTATCATACCGGTAGTTCCCGCCATCTCTCCAAAAAAGGGTCGAAGCCGTCCCCGTGAGCCCGGCCCATTGGTCGGCGTCCATTACTCGCGCGAAGCGGACCTATCCAAGATACCGGCGACGCAAGCCCACATTTCCACCTCCGATCGGACCTTGCATCTGATCAAGCTAAAGTGGCTGCTGCAGGTTGGGACTCCATGGAAAAGGCACAGCTCCGAGCACGAGGCCCTTCCCTTCCACACCTTTTCGAACGTGCCTTCGGAATCCTCACATCCCCTGAAGTCGTACCCAGTCCCGTACATCCGGCGCTCCAGCCAAAACCAACTTCTTTGTCAACATGCCATGACGTTAGGCGCTTGCCGGACTCGGCTTTGAGCGTCTTGTTCGCCCTCCTGCGCGCCTTGGAATACATCTCCTCCAGCCTGTTATGGTACGCGGACCGTATTTGGGTGCGTGGTCGCCTGATGGGCCGTAGTCTCATTGGTCGGCACTGCCAGGTGCAAAGAGGCCGTGTGCTAACTTGGCTGCGGGGGACATGGGCACATTTTTCGGTCTTGGCTACCGCATACCATGCTGCGAAGACTGGGTCGAGGCAGGGTCTCTGCAAGTGAGTGTTGTGGGATGATGGAGTTACACAAGCGTCTAGGTAAGATGCAGGGGACTGAATAGATTGCGGGTCCGTATCTAGGCTTTTATTTACTAAGATTCGTTAAGCTGATCCCAACCTGGCGCCATACCAGTACCTTTCGTGCTAATGATCTTTGGGGAATCCCAGGATCAGATGTGATTGTACCTATGATTCTACTACTTGCCTATGCCGGGTACCTTCTTGGCGATGATAAAGAGGAAGTAGAACCGCGGCAAAGCTGGTGGGTGCGTCAGGCGGAAGTCCGTCACCTTCTTGTGCGCGTGGCGGCCCATCACCTACCTCCCCGAGGTTCTCGAACTTACCCGTGGAGCTTCCCTTCACGACGTTTCGGGCGGCCATCATCCTCGACGTCATTTTGTTGCCGGGCCGCAGCAGCCTCGCGACTTGCAGCTGTCCAAGTCGCACTTGAGGTGTCTCGTCAGGCCGATGTGTAGTTTGAGGATCGTGCCCGGTACTGTGTGGCACGAGGTGACGGACGCCCCGGCTGTCGTCGCGGAACTTGGCATCGTGCACTGGACTCGTAGAATATGGTGGCGGAGGATGACGAGTAGGCATGTCTCCGGTGGCCGTTCATGTTGACCTCACCAGCGAAACCAGAATGGGCTTGAGTGCCTCGAGGTAGACACGGCTCGACACAGATGGCCCCCCACCCACTTCTCGCGCAGCTTGACCAGCACGTCGGCGTTTAGGCTCCCGTCTTTTTTGTCTGCCGCTGCTGCCGATGGTGGGAGATGCGTCTCGGGACCCTCGCGCGCGACTCCCGTGTTTCCCAGAGCCCGTTGCCGTACGATATGTCGTTCTTGGTGTGGTGATGGCTGTCAGGAGGCGGAGGTGAGGGCGATGTCCTCGTCGGGGCCGTCGCGATAGCCGGTGTCGGGAGGGCCAAGGTCCAGACGTAGGGCGTCGTACCTCGGCGGAGCGGCCGGGACCGGCGTCTTCGCCATAATTGTGCCACTTGCTCCACCTTCTCCGTATAATATAGTAGCTCCTATAGCGTACGCTGCTGACCTGTAGGCTGTGTATTCTGGAAGTCGAGAAGTAACAACAAGGGTGGTGCATGAGCTCTCCATGGACTTCCTAATGTATGCTAGTCTCACCCTCAACTTTGACCCGGCACGCACAACGTCAGCGAGGACAAAATCACGTTGTAGGACCGCCCACCCGAAAGCTAGGGTGCACCACCACAGAATCAATCGTGACGCGCGACACGCTGGGCGCACCTGGGATCGTTGTTAATGGGCTTTGATCGAGTTGACACGAGCACACCTAGGTCGCTATCACAACAATAGGCTGTTTCATGACGGTTTCCGCGGGCCGGTGTCTCGCCATGGCCAAACCAATTCTGCCTGATGGTGAGCATACTGCCTTGGAGATAGAACGAACATGAACAGGGGGGGGCCTGGCCAGCCCATGAAATATATAGAATATCATATTGGTATTGGTATAAACGCTGGAAATCATGCGACTGGTATATAGTTTAGTTCACTATGCCTCAACTCCATGCCATGCAAATCGTTAATGTAAAGAAATCGCTTTTGCAAGCCTATTCGTGGCCACAGACTGAGATGAAAACGCCCTGCGGGCCTCGAGGACCTCGAGGCCAGAACTTAGACCCTCTCTTGGTGAGAAGTGCCATTGAGGCCCTTTGGCTCCATACTCTTCTCGCTGCTCATGGCGTTCTCATTTTCGATAGCGTCCAATTCTGTACCGGCCTGCTTGCGGATGCGATTCATCTCCTCGGCGGAAGGCGGCACCCATTGAGCGCTCTTCCAGGCGGTGACGCGCTCCAGATACATAGTGTCGATTTCCTCGAGGGTACGGCCCTGGCCCTCGATGACGAAAAAATAAACGATGGCGGCGCCGACCAAGTTACAGCCGGCAAAGACGTAGCCGTAGCGGAAGTCGATGGCCCCGGTGATGAAGGGAGAGAAGAAGCCGATGCAGAAGTTCCATATCCAGTTGCTGGCTGTTGAGAGGGCCATGGCCTTAGCGCGGTAGCGGGACGGGAAGAGCTCGGCTTGGATGGTCCAGACCTAGCTCGAGTTAGTTTCTGATACAACCCGCTTAGTCTTTGGGTGACAAAAGCTTACCATAGGACCCCAGGTGGTCGCAAAGCCCAGGATGAACAGGCAGGCGAAGACGATGAGGACGATTCCGGGGCCGACAGTGTTCTGGGGGTGTACCCGGTCGAGACTAAAGTGGCCGACGGAGGCGAAGACCAAAAAGCAGATGAACATCCATATGGAGCCTGTGATGAGCGACTTGCGACGTCCAAAGTGCTCAACAATGTAGAGACCAATGAAGGTGGTGCCGAAGTTGATGGAGTTGAGGATGATTTGCGTGATAAAGGAGTTGATATTAACGGAGGCGAAAATGGTGGTACCGTAGTAGAAGAAGTAGTTTGCACCAGTGAGCTGTCAAGGGTTGTCAGTGTTTGTGGGCTATGAAAAGGACATCGGATCTGGTCCATACCTGCTGGAACATCTGCAGACCGCAACCCAGAGCAATGCGGTAGGCCATGCGGGGTGCCTTGAACATGCCGGTGAACTCTTGGACAGCACTGCCTTTGATCTTGGACTCGGCTCGGAGCTTACTCTCAATCTCCTCGAGCTGAATGTGAATGCTGTAGTGGTTCTCGGGGGCGCCGTAGACGCGGCAGAGTGTGTTTTTTGCCCGCTCAACGTTGCCCATGCGATAGTCGAAGCGAGGCGTTTCCGGAAAAGCCAGGATGCCCACACCAAGGATGATGGTCCACAGCCAGCCGAGACCGACGACGATTCGCCATGAGCCAGAGCTGTGCTCGAGGTGTGAGACGGTGCCGTAGTTGAAGCAGGCGGCCAGGAAAATGCCAAGGGTAATGAAGAGCTGATAGGCGCATACGAGAGCACCGCGAATCCATGGCGGAGCCGTCTCTGCCTGGAACATCGGGACGATGAGGCTCAGGGCGCCGACTCCGAAGCCGGCGACGAAACGGCCCATCATGATTTGCTCCCATGCTCTCTCGGCGGCGATCTGAATGACGAAGCCGACGGAGGTGACGACGCACCAGAAGGAGATGGAGTAGCGGCGTCCGAAGCGGTCGGCGATAGGGGCGGCGCACAGAGCACCAATGAGTGTGCCGATGGAGAGGAGACCGACGATCAAACCGGAGCGGACGTTGCTGAAGTGGTATGTACCATCGGGGCGGGCTTCGCCGAAGCGCTGGAGGAAGTCGGGCATCTCGAGGAAGCCAGAAATCTGACCCGTGTCATATCCGAAACTGGGAGGTTGTCAGTGGTTGGTTGCTCCGTCTCTAGCTGCTGTTTTGGATCTACTCACACCATGCCTCCCATGGAAATGAGAATGCCCATGGCCCATGACCGCCCCGTGATGCGCTTCAGTGGGGAGTAGTCAAGGTGGGCGAGGTCCTGGCGAGCATCGCTTGCCTTCTCTGAAGCAGGATTGTACTTGTCGAACTCAATCGTCGAGAAACCCATGTTGGGCGACGATTTGCTTGTATCGGGGTAAAGGATAGGTGGGATTGTTTGATGGTTGATGCCAATGATGGTTCGTCCGAGAGGAGTAAGGCAATATTGGTGAGGGGGCACGACGGGCGATATATATGCTTGTTTCGGTCGATCGAGACACGACACACAACACACCACACACAGCGCAAGCACTAAGCACCACTAGCAACGTGGGCCCCCGTAAGGACACGACATTTTCTGGGGGAGCAGAGAGCGTGTGGGAGGGCGTCTCAATAGTCAGGGGCGTGACGTCAAGAGGGAGAGAGAGAGAGAGAGGACTGTGTGTCAATGGGGCGGAAGAGGCGGAGACGATGCCAGAGTTTGCGTGTCCGATGACTTGGGATGGACTGTGGGATGGACACGTGTGGATGGCACCGAGGTGTTTCCGTCCGGGGCCTGGGGTCTCCAGGTTGAGGAATCGGCCCGTTCCCCATCATTCTGGTCTCAGGAACATGAACTAGGATGATGAGAAATTGGCGTGAAGCTGTGAGGCGAGGGACAAAACATGGAGAATGAATACCTAAGAGCGGCCGGCGTGGCATTGCATGCCATGGTGGAGAGGCGTGACAGATAGCCGGTTGCGGCTCTGGGAATGATGGGCAACCGTGGGAGGCCGACGGCGTATTCCAGGAACCGTGGAGGGGAAGGCGTGCCTCTCGACAGTGATGAGCGGGTCGTCCCTGGTATTGGCGAGTCTGGTTGTCTGGTCTGTCGGTATCGACGGTATTGAGGCCGGAGGGGGGTGGAATGACGTTGGTTGACGTTGGTGGAGTGGTGGAAACAAGAATGGGGGTGTGGGATGATGTAAATCGGGCGAGAAAGTGTGCGGAAGTTGGAGTAGAAGGGAAGGGTTCCCCCGCCGTCGGGTGTGAAGATTGCCGTAGTGCACAGTAAGTACCTTTGGTATGGCAATATGTGAAAAGGTACATGGCGCCGACTACCTATTTCACGGAGGGTCCAGGGTGTAGGCCTGTTGTCCCTGCTTACGACCCATCACCATATAAACCACTTAGGTAAACTGCCTAGGTACTCTCTCTCCTACGGGGTTTTGGGTCAGTGGAGTAGGAAAAAGCTGGAGGGTCAAAAAGATATCGGTTGCGCCAAAGCGATTGGACCATAAACACGGCAAAGTATTTTTGGCGTATACACTATACAGTAAACGGGATCGAGAAGGAATCCAACGGAGCCGCGCAACATGACTCCATCCGACAACCCTTGTGCCAGGGCGCAAGTAGATACCTAGGTAGATACCTACCTACCTAGGTAGACGTACGCTTACAAGTATTTGGTAGCGTACCTCAGTGTAACGTTCCTAGTAGGTATGGATGCGTGCCGTGCTCTTGCATCGGCCGGCAACAACCAACGGAATGCAACTTTACGGCGCATCGCCGATAGTGGCCAACCACTAAGCGACTTGCCCTTCCCGACCAGGTAGGCGGACCTCTCGGATCTTGTGCCAAGGGCCGATGCTCCCAGTCACCGACCGGCACCGCCTGGCTGGTATTTTCCTCCCCCGACAATCCCTCAACAAAGTGAAGCATTCGCCCGCCACGCCAAAAAAAGAAGCCAAGGCCCAGGGGTCCAAGAGCCGCTGCTGATTATACCAAAATGCTACGCGGAAGTCTTGGAAGCAGCGGACAAGCTCTTTCCATCACCGGCCCAGAAAAAACCTTGATTGAACCACCTGACATCGCCCTTTCCGTTTCCCTTCCTTCTCTTCTCCATCCGCCGCCTCCTTGCCTCTTTCCTCTCTACGTGCGTCCTTCTTTCCCAATGTATCCGTATGGTACCTACCTATCTAAGCTGGGGAGGTACGGACGGATCGGTACCGAGGTACGTATGCCATGTGCCGCGACCCACTTTCAACCCAGATGACGTACGTCGTTAAAAAGAAAACACACACACACACAAACACCTGCGTGTTCGTGACTGGGCTTCTTTTTCATTCATGGCCTCTCTTCGGCCCTTCTCTCTCCTCATCCCCAGATATACTTCCTTCTCCAGCAATCCCCGGTTTTCCCTGCTTTCTGGAGTCTGGAGTCTGGAGTCTTCTCCCCTATGTCCGGACTCTGGACTCGCTTGTCGGTCGTAGTCCGAGATGATCTGCAGGCTCTGGCTCCATGGAGTCCGCACATCCACTCGACAAGCCATTGTCGTCTTCCCCTCGGGGCATCCGGATTCTTCTCGACTGTGCCTGCTTCCCCCCCTCTCCAATAAGTCTTTCGGCACCTCCTCCGGGGAACGACAGGCGAATCAATCAAGTCCGTCTCTGAGTCTCCGCTGTTTCGGCCTTCGCACCATTCCGCTGCCGTCAATCACATCATCATGGTGTCCACGCCGCTTATCTGCCCCTTTCCGATTGAGACTCTCGCCATCGCTTGCTCCCATGGGGCTCGGTAATGTCTTCTCCACCATTATTACATTACTAACACACACAAATAGTCGCCATAGCCATGGTCCAGAGCCTTGGCCGCCTTGGCCGGACATGAACACCGGCAATCCAAACGTACGGCAGGGTGCTGCCCCCAAGTGATAAGACGAGATGCATTTGGGATTTTTAGTATTCAACACCACAAAGGGAAGAAACGGGCCTGGATGAGAAATCAAAAATTAGCTCCCGGGTCGGCCGATGGTGTTTGCGGTCGCCCAATGGCTGACTATGGTTGACTGGTGGGATCAGGCGCGTACCCGATCTTCAACATAGTTATCCTACCGCAATAGTTCATCTCCACGATGGCCCATTTGCAATGTTACAGCTAGCATGCATTCCTTGATAAGTATGATTTCCCACTTTTCTCGGTCGCTTTACGGCGCATTTCTCCATTTGCTATGCATGAGATGTTTGGTGCACACATAGTAATACCTGACAAAGTCACGCACGGGTCCGTGTTCTCTTCCAAAGACCTCCCCCCCAGTTTCACGTCCGAAGCTTTCAAGACAACCCCTGCCCCTCGAGACAATGCCATCGTCGCCCTGACAGCCCACTTGCACCTTTCAAACTCGTCCAGACTGCAGGCTCAACAAGCCTATGAATGTTGTCATGCGACTCACCATGTGGATTCCAGGCCGTTCACCCCCGTCGGCTTATCCACCAGTGCTGTGATCCGGAACCCGTGCCGCAGTCCCTCCTGTGGGTTATGGACGTTGTAGTAGTCCGAGATGGCCGTGTGCGCCGTTACGCGGTTGTCCCACAGCGCCACCGTTCCCTCTTCCCACTTGACGCGCACCTGGAAATCTTGGCCGCGGTTGATGTGCTGCAGAACCTGTTAGCCCCCCAACTACTTTTACACAGCGTTCGATCACGTACCTTGCAGAGCAGCTTCAGCAGCGCGTCCGAATCTTCGTCTCGAAGCCCAATGATCTTCTTCGCGGAGCCGGGATTGACGAACAATGCCTTTTGGCCGGTGGCCTAAAGAGACAGTTGTAAGTAGGTCTGCGTCATGCACCAGCATTCGGGGCCGACCTCCCGGGTGGATGCGAACAATCGGATGATCCGACTTGACCGGCTCCCTCCTCACAAACCTTCCATCCCGGCGCGCGTTGTCCGCCTGAGGAAACCCGCTGTGCTCTGCCCTCAGCCCCTCCAAGAGCGTCTGTATCGGTCCCGAGAGCCGCGCATACGCCGCCGTCTGCGACACCCACGCCGTGTCGCCACCGGTCTCGGGCACCGACAGCAGCGTGAGGATCGTGACGCCGGGCGGCTGGTGCTCGTACGAAACGTCCGAGTGGTACCCGATGGTCGACAGCTTGTTGCTCTTGCTCCGGTTGCGGGATTCGTTGTCCGGACCCAGGTAGATGTTGTGGAACTCGAGGTTCTCCCTGACGTGGGCACCCACGGGCTGTCCCCCCGTTTTTTCGTCAGTAACGCATTTCTGGTCACACGAGTCTTTGGGGGGGGCGACGAACGTGGATGTGGAGGGGACCAAAGGAACGCCCGAACTCCTTCTGCTTCTCGGCACCGATGTCCTTGAAGTCCTGGTCGCGGAAGACGACGACGACCCGCTCGGCGATCAGAAGCGCGAGCTCGTCCTTTTGTCTGCTGTCGAGCCGCGACAGCTGAAGGCCCCTGATCTCGGTTCCGATGACCGGGGTCAGCTTTGTCTCCTTGATCTACGGGTGGCCCTTGGGCAAGAGGTCGGCCTTCTCCCTGTGTGATGCGAGCCCGCGGTCGTTGAACTCGAACGGCTGCAGCGGAGCGAATGACGTCTTCTCGTCGTAGACGGGCAGGTACTGTGAGTACTTGTACTGTCGCGAGGTGTCAGTATCTCGGTCTTTCTCTGCGGCAGGCCAGGTGGTGCTAGACAAGTGTACCTGATCATAGATCTTGTCGTCGTACGCCAGTGTCAGCTTGACGGGCGCCACCCCGGCCTGGGTTTCTGTAGCTGTGTTGGAAGACGTCGTGGTTTCTGTCTTTCTTATATATTTCGTTTCTTTATCTGCTCTCCTATTCCTTTACGTAGGAATACCAAGTGCTTCGTTACATAATATCCCTTTAATGGGGCCTTTGACTTTAAATGTTCCCGCGAACTACCGGAAAGCAAAAACACGCAGAAGAATTGCCATCGCGTCAATCGGACGGCAGATGGCGAGCACTTGGAGCCATCCATCCCGCGATTTACGTCATCGGCACTGTGTATGCGGGGAAACCCGCAGATGAAGAGACCCTTCGCGAGCAACCGTTGTTGATAGGACTGGTTCCGACTGCTTCGGAGGATGGAAGGGGGGCGGGGGGGAGGGAACGCATTGCATCACCGGGATCGATGTCCTGATTGCTCGTCACAAGGAGGATTCCAGCCCTCCCGATGCACGTACGCAGCACTAGTCACTTTCTCTGCGTGCTGGATACCATAGGGGTGCGCGACGTGTGTAGGTTGGCGTTTTTTGTTGCCTTTCTTTTTTGTCGTAATCTCGGCGGGGATGGCATCAGGAGTGGTGCTGGCCAACTGGGGCAGAGACGGAACCGGTTCGGCAGACGTCCCCGCTTCTCGGCGCGGGTTTTTACGCCGTTAGCGACCCCCCCCCCCCCACATCGGCTCCGGGGTCGTCGTGTGGTGGTGTGCGAACCCAGCAGAAGGTCAAGTTGGACACACGTAAATCACCGTCTCTTGTATGTCATTGGGGGCAATCCTGTCAGATGATGAATTGAATGGAAAAGTGATGATTACACGCAAAGGGAGGTTGCCGTCCATCTCTCCGGGCCTGTCCCGGGAAAAGATCCTTGCAAACAGCGAGATCGACTGGATAGCTTTTCAAGAGACCATGGGGATTTCATAAGAAGATTGGTGATCAGATTGGAGAGGATATTAAATACGTTGCTGGAAGCCCAACCGCGTATCTGCGTGAACTTGTAGAAACGCCCATGGCACTGTTGGCCATTAGCTTTGAGATTAACAGCCACTGTCCCCAGTCGTCTTGACGCAAATTGCGGGACCCCAGCCGATAGCTTGCATTTCCCCCCACCCGAGAAGGCAGAGAGCAGTGCAACATGATACATCTGGTATGACCGAACGCCTTTGCAACATCGGAGCGTTTCCCGCGGTATTGATAGACCCTATGATAAATCACAAGGGCCTCTTCGCATGGCTCATCACTTTTTAGCATGCTTCTTGCCAAGAGATATTCTCAGCCATCAGACGAGGCTGTGGACAGCCCCCAGAGATCGGAGTCAGGTAATACATCATATCGGTGCCGACAAGACTAAGGTCATGTGCGTCGCAGGATGACAGCATGAAGCCCTGGTACACGTTAAGTATTCGCAAGCGGTTTGTCCGAGACAAGGGAGGCGAGCCAATAGGTATCAATAATCGATAGGCGTACACTCCAACCACATATGTCCACAGTTCACTGCAACTTTAACCCCCCCCAAGGGCTTCTTAGTGCAACCACCTTTGGGCCAATCCCACTGCAATCCGGAAGCAGGCAAATGCTCCAACATGCACCCACACCTTGCATGACTGTTTCACCGATACTGATACAACCCTTACAAAACCCCAAACACCAGAGCAAGCGCGGTGAACCGCGACGTTCCCCATCATGAGATGCATGCTTCTTATCATGTTCACCAAGCAGCCAAGCCCAAGTCCTCGTAGAACGGCTCCATGAGGACGTCTCGCCCCAGAAAGTCCGCAAGCGTCTTCATCTCGGGCAGGCTCCCTCCCTTCTCGAGCACGCCGTACCGGTACCTTCGGCCAGCCTCCTCGCTCGTGGGATTCTTCTTGAAAACCGCGCTGAAGATGTCCTGCGCGTAGACTTTCGAGCTGTGGTGGAACCGGTCAGCCACGCCACCACTTTGATTTGCGCAGTGGGTGGAGTGAAACTTACAAAAGGTAGCTGTAGAATCCAGCATCGTACTCGTCCATCAGGAAATCCCAGTTGGTGTATCCGTGTCCCCACTCGCCACCCTCACCCAGCGCGGACGGGTCATCTGTTGGGACCATCTCCCTCTGGAGCTCGTTCCAGAACTTTGTAAAGTCCGTGGATTCAACCGCATCCTGGCTGGACGGCTGATGGACGGACATGTCGAAAACGCCTATGGATAGCTGTACCAATGCACTCAGCGCCCCGCCGACATGCTTGCTTTTAAGGAGACCCTCGGCCACATCCCTAGGAATCCTCTCCGGCGGTTGTTGCGCGTCCCCGTTCCCTCCCAGGGCCCGCCAGTCTCGAAGGCACGCCTCCGAGAGATAAGAATAATGCCGGCTCAGTCCGCTCAACTGCTCCGGCGCCCAGCACCAGTTCTCCAGCATCTGGCTCGGCGCCTCGCCAAAGTCGACGGCGGTGCCCATCGGCCCGTGAAACCGCGCGAGCTGCGTGCGGGAGACGAGGTCGTGTATGCCGTGACCCAGCTCGTGGAAGAGCATCAGGACGTCGGAGTGGCGCAGCAGCGATGGTAGGTTGGCGGACGCAGGAGGGGCAAAGCTGCTGATCAAAGCTGTGGAAGGGTGCGTGCGAGTTCCATCTCGATTGGTGAAGCCCTACATGGGGTGTCAGCATATGGCTGCGGATCAGGGAGGAAAAGGGGAAAGAGTCGTACCGGGATGAGGCTGCAGTTTGAGGGATTGCCTTTTTTCGCATCTCGATGGTAAAGATCGAGATAAAGATACCCCAGAAACCCACCGCCTTCGCCCTCAACGTCCCATACGGCAAAGACCTGGACGTCTTTATGCCAGACCAAGTCGTCTCCTTTGCTCGTGGGCGATAGAGTATCTCTCTCCTCACCCCGGATCTCGTGGAACACCATCCCAAAGAGGTGTTCGAAGATGCGCAACATTCCTTCGACTGTCGGCTGCAGAGGGAAGTACTCTGCGATCTGTTCTTGATCAACGGAGTACCTCTCGTGCGAGAGGAGACGCATGTAGTACTGCACATCCCAGAGGTAGAAGCGCCCATCAAAAGCCTCACCTCGGGCTTCGGCGTCGCGCCGCTTGACCTCGAGAAGAGCTTCACACTCCGCCCTGGCGGCCTCTGTCAGCTTCGACCTCAGAGACGAGAGGAAAGCGTCGACGCGCTGGGGCGACCCGGCCATCCTGTCCTCGACGCTGAGGGCGGCGTGGTTGGCGTACCCCAGGAGCCGCGCCGCTTCGTGGCGAAGGGCCACGACTTGGCGGAAGACGGCGACGTTCTCGGGGCAGCGGTTTTCAAAGGCCACCCGGGCTCTCTTCCGTGTCTCGGGGTTGCGTGCGGTTGCCAAGAGGGGCCCGAGCTGGCTGGGCAGTCTGATGCGGCGTTTGCCCTCGTTCTCGCTGCCTTGTTGCCCCTTTTCGAGATGGGCGAGCAGGTGTTGCGGATACCCATCGAGTTCGTCAAGTGTGAACCACACGGCATGATCGGCCTCGGCCACGTTCTTGCAAAATTCTGACGTCAAGTCCTCGACTCTGCCTTTCACCTCTTCGAAGCGGTCTCGCTGGGGCCCGGCCGGGATACGAAGACCGTTCCTGGCAAACTCTTTGTGTTTCTTGACCAGGTAGTTCCCCTTTTCAGCGTCTAGACTCTGAGAAACGTCGCTGTTGTTGTACACGGCATCCACAAGACAGAATATGCGTTCGTTCATGGAGCATTCGATGGCAAAATCGCGCAACATGTTGCGGGCTTTGGCAGAGGCGGCACGGACGTCAGGGGACGGAGACACGGCCTTGTAAAACACGAGAAGGCTGGATTCAGAGGCCAATGCATTCTCTGCGTGTGAAAGCGCGAGAAGGACGTTGTCGTAGGTTGCGGTGGAAGGGGTGACGGAGTCTGCAATGGCTTTTTGGGCGACCCGGGATGCCTCGATGAGACGACTGATGTCGGCAATGATTGAGGTTGGCGTCGCGGTGAAAACGGGCGGCGCTTGAGGGGGGCTACCGAGGGGTGATGAAGAGCCGGTCATTGTGAAGATGCAGACTTCAAGCCTGAGCGCGGTCACGAGAGTTTGGAATGGTTTGGTCAGTTCGTGCTTGAGGTTTGAAAGTATGAAGTTGGATCATCACGTATTTAATCAACTCAACATCCCGGGCAGTCCCATCTCGCACTTTCAACCATGTCGTCTTTTGGTGGGGAAGACTTGTTCAGGACAGGAAGATCGTTGGTGGATTAGGTAGCCGGATGTGGTATCAGTTTCAGGGTCTCATAGCCCCGCCCTCCCTTGCAGCTGCCTTGCACCAACAGACTGTTTGTTTGTGACCAAGTGCATACATAACATTGTTGGTTGCCTGCTTGCATGATACCCTGGCAAGGTCCGGTTCACTAACTTCTCTTCCAGAGCTCCGAAGTCCCCGTGAGATTCCATCTCAAGGTCACGGCACTGGGCTGTCTAGTGTCCCAGTCCACGGCTAGAATGACTGAGAATATCAGCGCTACAGTGGGCCGCATGGAGCCGATGGCCTGGGAATAAACGAGCCCACCAACGCGAACCCAACGAACATCAAGAACCGCAGGATCTTTGATATACGTGCGAACACGGAGTCGAAAGAAACTTGATATCGTGTAACGTAATCTGAAACTGGATGGATGAGGTGATGCCGAAGAAGCCGAGATAGGCTGCGAGGCTGCCGAGGTTGGTGATGGGGTACGCCTGCCCAAAGCTTTCGAGGTTATTTTCCGTCAGTTGCGCAGTGAGAGAGAGTATAGATACCAATTTCCTGTTGGAAAGGGTTACCTAAGAGGTAAGAGACGATGAAAGAACAAACCAGCTGACCGAGACTATGTCAGAGACGACCCGACTGGCCTGACTGCTCGGAAGCTTCGCCATGCTTAGCGGCGGTGGTTGACGGCGGTGGAAGCCTAGAAATAGTGCCTGACTATCCTCTGTGCTTGACTTGAGAGCTCATGGAAGATGTTCAATTTTTTGGGAAATCAAAGTGTAGTTCGGAGCGAAGCAAGAGTGCTTAAAATGATGTGGAATCACTGAGGGCATCGTCATAGAGTGCCACCTTAGCCCTGTGGTCTCCAAAGACCTGTGGCTTTCTTAAACTATCAACCTCCGTTTGAAACTCTCATGGATGAGTCAACACCTTCGAAAAGTGCTGTTTTATGGAGGGGAGACAAGAGCACATTAACTCTAGTGTTCAAGGTCCCAACTTCATCGAGCGGCGACCGCAGAAGCTCCCAGATCGGCTGTTGATATCGATCTCAACGTTTTCAGATATTAACAGGATAGATCGATGAGGATGAACTTTTCACGAATACACAAACCCATAATGGGCACAAAGTGACTTTAAAACGTTCTTACAGCTGAATCATTGCTACTGAAATCTTAGCACGGGCTCTGTCTCTTTGTGATGAAGCCCATTTTGGAACATGACGTTTAATATCCACAAAAATTGTACAGACGTCATAAAAGCAGTATCCCCAACACACAAACCCAACGACTCAACACTGAACTGCTACGAGCGTGAATCTCTCACAGCCACCCGAGTAGCTACCGGCGCAAGGGTCAACCCGCTGAGCTTCTCTGAAAGCACGTCTTCCAGGCCCTGTGCGTTAAGCGCCGCCTCCTTCTTCTGCAAAAGATTCAGCAACAGCGTCTCGATTTCGACTGCCAGATCGAGGAAGTCATTGGCTGCGTCCTTCAAGCTAAAGTCATACTCTTTGCGACGCTGCACCACCGTGGCACGCGCAAATATGAGATCGAGGTTTTCTCGGAGCGCTCTGGCGAGCGGCGTTTCGATGGGCAGCCTTGCGGCTTTGCTTGCGGGTGTTTTGACGAAGTGGTAAGTGTCGGTGGCGAACTGATAAGTGTCGGCCGCCACTTGCTCGAGGGCAGCCTCGTTCTTCCACGCTACGGATTCGGGCCAACCCCTTTCCTGGAGGCGATGCATCTGGCGCAGCATAAGACTGGCGTCATTGCATTTCTCGCTTAGACCGCTGTTGAGCAAGACCTCGTAGCCCTGGTCGGTGGGAATGAGACGGCTGACGCACATCCTTATGTCGACCAGGGTCTTCGAGTAGAGCTCTTGATACTCTGGTATGTATTTCGTGCTGCTGCGCCTAGTCTCGTCTCTACCAGGGCTCATTGGCGTGGGAGATCTGGTAGACCGTGCAACTGTGATATGAAGTCAGCATTTGGGCATGTGTATCAAACCAAACATGGGATGATGCAGTTATATTCTTACCTGTGCGCGAGGTATACTCCTTGCAACGAAGCCTCAACTCGTCCATCCATATACTGTTCTCCCAGTCACTCCGATACATGCCGCAGGCTTCGGCGCCAATCAGAATCAGAAGCTGCCTGAGATGACTGACGTGAGAGTGATAGTTCATCGCGTGGCTCGGGTGAAACCCATTGACTTTGGGAACGGCAACAAACGCACGCTGGCCTTCGGGCCGAAACCTCGCCTTATCTGGCCACTTCGACCCAGCTCTGAATTGCTCCCCGATCCCGATATTCTCCAACATGTAAGAACTGCCCTTGACAGCCTTTGCTCTTGCCAAGGGCATCATGATCTTGCCCGCGCAGAGCAGAACGTCGGGACTCTTGTCGTAGATAGTCGCAGTTGATAAGAGAAAGGCGTTCCTCAACCTCGTGTTGTCGACATCCCTTGGGTCTCCCGAAACATATGGGAGCAGATCGACGACGGCGATGTCCTCCCGAAAATCCAGGGTCCCGCAGGAGACCACAGTGAATATGTCTTCAAGGGCACGGAGCGTTTCGCAGCTGTCAATGACGGCGCCGAGGCCCTCTTCGAACGGGTGGTTGTGCCGGGGCTGCTGCAGCATGACGACGATGCCGCCTTTTACAGGCGGGCCCGCTAGCTGCGCTGTGACTTGGATCTCGGCGCGTGGCAATCGCAACGACCGGCCCTCTTGCTCCAGGCGGGAGACATGTGGGGAGGAATCCGTCGTGTATCTCGGGACAGGTTTGAGCAGTTTTCTAATACGGTGGTCGACAGCTATGTCGAGACAGGTCTTGGTTTGCGTATCTGACGCCATGGCTGATGGTCGTAGAATAAAATCTTGACACTACAATGGTGCAACCCTCACACAAGGAAAGGCCAAAACTTGGATCGCCCGGTATCTTGTACTTCGCTCGCACTCTTCAAAATTCCATTTCAGTCAAGGCTACCGGAATAGCATAGCCCCTCGTGAGGCAGACCCAGCTCCTGCATGGCGTTTGTAGGAATGCATTGAAAACGTGTGGTCTGACAGTCTATCGGATAATTGGCCCATTGCTTCGCCATGTGATTTCGCTGGCAAGAAGAGGTGCAGCACCCTTGCATGCGGAAGAGTTAATATTGATTTTTTGCAATCTGTGATTCGCTGACTAACCGGGCGGCAATATCGTGGCCGTTCCCGTCCAAGCCACCAACTTGGCTTTCATATCTATGACCATTGGGCGTTATCCATGACTTTTGGAGGGCCATGGTCATCGCTAGGCTAGACTGGTTTCGGCCTCCCTGCAGAAAGCATTCTCCACCAACTGGACGTTCAGAGGCAGTGTCTATTAACCTGTCGAACGGCGTTCTCGACTCCCAGTAAGCTTGGGTTGTATTTTCGCTCGGTAGGGCTAATTATCTCGGTCACTTAATGAAAGCCCCAGCCGAGCAAGGTGCGTCTAGTTTATGTGAAGTGATTCTACACCTTTACGACTCCCGATATTGCAGACATGAGAATTACCATATGAGTGGGAATAAAACTCTCAATCTGGAACAATAACCAAGTTACTACGATCCTCGCCGCCAGGCTGCTAGTATCCGGTTCTGCTGGGATTCCCGTTTATCCGCAATCCTGCTTCATTGGCAGCTTTTAAAATTATGATCAAAGAAGAACCCCTTGCAAGGTTTTGAATATCTTTCTCAGTGATATATTGAAAAGACGACTATTAGAGACGAGACAGAATTGGGCGTTATTCTACGATCTGGAGGGTATCAGTGTAGAATCTAAATAGAAATCGTATAAATATCTTGCTAGTGACGATAAAATTCAAAACAACTGACCAGGGATACTTTGTATAGCCTCCGAAGATTTCGAGATTCAAGCGTCGCCAATCTACCTATAGTTTTGTGGAGCGTGTATCAACGTATCCTGTCTAGTAAGCTTCTATAGGCAAGGCGTAGTATAGAATGACGCGATAAGGGACTTTGAAGATGTGCATACCGCTTGTTAAGTGATAACGTATCTAGGAAAATAGTGCGTGCTTGAGAATGGTTCTAGCAAATACCTATCGTAAGCTCATTCCGCTGATGTGTGATAATTACTACCCCAATCTCCAAAGTAGGAAGCCATCAGCATTTTGGGACTTAGATATTGTCACGAGGTGATATAGCGCCACAATCGCAGCACGGCAATTGTGGACCCACCTTTGTGTCCTATTGCCTCATTCTCATTCGTCACAGATATCAAGTAGAAAAGCCGTTGCAACACCGAAAACTAAGCCATTGCCAAGGTATTCCAAGCTAGCTCTCCTAGCATAAAAATGAGAATGAATTGTCTCTGTGAACTTGCCAGAGTAATCGCAACGTCTA